TTAATGCTATTTCCTCAATTATATATTTTTTATAAGCCGCTTTATGTTGCCTTAAAATAGGTAATAATTCCTTTTTTGTCGAATTCTCTTGCGTCTTATCATGTTTTTATGTATTTCTTCAATTTCCAGGGGTTTACTCCCTCCACTCTTCTTGGAAGATGAAACAATTCCTCCTTTTCTTTCTTTTAGGAATCTATAAATTGTTGCTTCTCCAACCCCTGTCATATTTGAACACATGTTAACGATTTCACGAACATTACTTAAAGGGCGTCGATGTACACTTCCCGTCATATAAAACTGGTACACTTTTTTTTCCCAATGTAAACCTGTGTTCACAAATCAATTCGTTGTTGCCAATACAGATAACGGAATTGCACTAAATCTAAATAAAAAAATAACGTTAAAAAATGTATAAAATTTTTAGATAGGTATTATTTTTATCATTAACATCAAAAAACCGTATCTAAGAAATTAAATAAGCAAAGACAGGGTTGAGTTATTGTCCAAAATGTTTGCAGGATCTTTAAACCTGTAGTATTGGCACAGGGCACAGGGAACATTAAAATGCACCTACTGTAATTTTATACTTCAATTACCTACCGAACACGAACTGTATTTTGTGTCAATAAGTTTAGTAACAAACTACCAAGATTAAATTATTATTTATTACAGGAACAATAAATGTAAAAAAATAACATTTTACTTTATCCTACGTATTATAAACTATAAAATATCCGTGGCGAAAAAACGCTTTTCAAAACGTGACAGTTTCAATCCAATATCTCACTGTAATATTTTATTATAATAATTTGAAGTTTGTCTAGGTTGATTATCTGTCATTATTTTTGAATTGAAATATTTTCATAAATTGTTATAAAATACAAATCAATGATAATTACATAATAATTACAAATCAATGGTAATTAATTGAGATGATGGAAAATTACAAAATTAATATGAGAATTTTTTAGGATGCATGTTTAAACAAATTTAATGTGACTGACTGATCGAGAATGCTCGATAATGTTTTAGTTTTTAGTATTGTCACAACTGGCGGTCTGTCACACAGTCCTGCTTTTAGCTGGTTTTATATAATATTTTCGTTGAACTGGCAATGGTGCCCTAGAAATTAGAATGACACATCTGACAAGATCAACTTACACAACTTAAAAAACACGATTTTTGATTATAAGAATTGTACCAGTTTTTTATGACGGGAACGGTACAAGTGCATCGTGTACATTTAATATTATATTTTTCTCTCTTAGACTGAAGGCGCCTTTAAAACTACACTTAACCGGGATAAAACCTGTTGTCGACGTCATTTTTAAATGCAAATAACAAAATATCGACACCAAAAACGTAGGTAGGTAAGACATGAACAATGTACATCTACAAACTAAATGGAAGATGCAAACAATTTCTAATTTATATTATTGGCATAAGCTGTAATGTAGCATAAAAACTACTTAAACTATCATTAGTGAAGCCTTATCAGTAATTCCAGGTAATTGTTCAAAGAAGGTATTCTTTTTGTGTCAGGCAATAACTTGTATAGAAAACAATAATCACCTTTAAATTACTGTTTACATTAATTTATTTCGTGAAACATTGAATTCTCTTGTTAATCACCCGTGTATAATTAACAATAATCGTGTGGAAACTCAATGGGAAATTCTAAATTGTTGAAGTCCTGCTTCCCTAATTATTTTACACCAAAAGTCATGGAAACTATTTGTAGAGGACTCAAATATGTATCGAAAACAGCTGTTAAAATTATTCTACAACTTAAACGTATTCCAAAATTTTACTAAAATATAATACATTTTTCTGTGAAAAAATGTGTATTACGTGTTGCGTTTTGTCATATAATTGTTTCTGATATTTGACAAAAATCAATTATATTACATTTATCTATGATTTAAATGGCCAAAATTTTGTGATTTATTGTTAAAAAAAATTAAGTTGATTAAAAAATGTACTCAGTTGAGAAGAAAAAAGCAATAATAAAAATGTTTTATTCATGTTTTATTATAACATTTGTTATAGTTTTATGTTTAGAAATTATCATATTATTATTAGGAATAAAAGATCACAGTAACAGTATATTGGAATTCATTGAATTGTTGTATAACTTAACTTAACATGGAATTAAATTTTAGTGAATTAGAATATCATACGTTAAATAAAGATCCGGTAGTGGCAGAAAAAGGTTCGCGCTATTGCCTGAATACAACATTATGCGATTTTTCGTCAACTGAGTACATTTCATTATATTGATCGATTTGTAATAATTTATTGTTCACAAAGTAATAATGTTCATTAGTAGTAGTATTTAGTAAAATTCATTGTTTATAATTTAATCATAAAATAAAAAAATTGACAATTCAAATTGTCAAACATCTGACATAAATATGATAAAACACAAACGTGCTAATATATATTCTTGCATTACGTGTGGCCTAACTTTTAGGGTGGCCTAAAAAATGTATTAAATTTTTGCAAAATTTTTTAAGTACATTTGAGTCGTAGAACGGTTTTTAACATTTGTTTTTAATTCAGATTTTAGTCCTCTACAAATAGTTTTTTATGACTTTTGATCTAAAATAATTAGGGAAGCAGCAATTCAACAATTTAAAATTTCTCATTGAGTTTCCTATGGTCCGTTTGACGATTCACCACCCGGTATACCGACGTTTTTTTACGCACAAAAAAGGTATAGTGAGATTAGTGGACACATATTTTACAGAAGATTTTTTAAAAGATAATGAATTGTTGACGGGATCTTAAAATATTATTATTTTTTATTTATTTCAAAACAAGTATAGGGTGACGCCTATGGTTTTTTGACGTGTTGAGGATTTGTATACATAATGTGCTATCAATATGATGGAAAAGGACTATAGGTTATATTATTTTTTTATAATTTTATCTCGTGCACGTTTTTGTAGTTTACGATTTTTTTTCTTTCATATCGGTAACAGTAACAGTTAATTACACGTTGCTTAGTAATAAAGTCTTGTAAAAACAAAAGTAGGTTATATAATATATTGTTTTTTGACTTTATTAAATGTCTTTAAGATTATTTGGTAAATGGTATTTAATGGACCTAAGCTCTGACGTCGCAATGGGCGAGGTTTAAAAACCTCTCCAAACATTATAATGACAGATTCCTTGACGTTGCTTGGTAAATTTTCACGCTCCTCATTGTCACTATCTTGACACAATATCATCTCATTTGTGCCGTCTTCATCGTGTAGATCTGATTCTTCACTATTAGGTATATTTGGAATTCTAACTGTATTCATTGTACCATAAAAGAGTTTCGGATCAATATCTACAAAAACAATTAATGAGTTCATTACTTCATAGTGTGCCATATATAGCACACACTCTTTTTTGGGGTTTTCGAGAGATTTTTAACATTCATAATTTTTAGTACTTACCTAAGCAGATACCTAATATCACAATACAATAAATTTCAATTTTTTCTCGCCGTAAAGAACGTTTTTACTATGAAAAATAACCTCTAACTTCGAGCACTGTTTCACGTGGTTCAGAATTTCATCAAGAATTAGAATAGAATAGAAATATGCTTTATTGTCACTGAAAATTATTGAACAATTTTATGGACAAAGCTAAAAAATAAATCAGTCAAATAATACAAAAAGTATAAAACAAAAACAAATATAGTAAAAAACAGAATAACACAATTTTAAATTAGTAAAATTATTGTATAACCTACATAATTTGTACAGACAACAACAAATGAGACAAATTGTAGCCACTGCTTGAGACACCCAAATGTAATTATAAACAATACTAATTTTGTTTCCTTGTTATACATTAAGAAACTCGTCAACTGAATTAATATGGTCTTTCTGAGAGATAGATTTTTGTCACCTTACGAAACTTAATGAAGGATGTTGCGGATTTAATTTCTCTTGGAAAGTGATTATAAAGTTTCTTTGCACGATATAGAATAGAATTCTTTACTATCTGAGTGGACGGGATCGTCAAATAAACGTTACAATCCGAATTTCTAATGGAGTAGCCATGGTCAGGTCTATCGGGAAAAATGTTTAGATGCTTTCGAATCAAACCAAACCGTTTCCAGAATAAATAAAGAGGGAAGCGTCAAAATTCCTGATTTTTGAAGTAGGTCTTGCAATGAGTTGTTTGTTTGAGACCAAATAGATAACGGATTGCTCTTTTTTGCAACTTAAAAATAGTATCAAATTGAGCCGCTGTACTAGAACCCCAAAATGGAAGCCCATATCGAAGATGGGACTCGAACAATGAGAAATATGCCATTTTGGCAGAAGATAAATTTAGTTCCTTCGAAACAGATCTTATTGCAAAGCAAGCTGAGGCTAGTTTCTTCTTAAGGAGTCAGTATGCAAGGACCATTTAAGATCACTGTCAATGAGAATACCTAGAAATTTCACGGAATTTACGATATTGATTTGGCTCAATTAACTTGAAACTGAGCACGGCTGCCTATCTCGCCGTCAGAACTATGCCGCATATCTCGCGTAGTGATAGTGCAAACACTACTGACCATTGAGCTGCGCGAAGGCGGAGTAAAAATTCACGTAAAGGCAGAAAGGTTCTGTTCTAAGTGGAATTATGCTAACAAAACTGAAACGTTCTACCATTCACGTTGCATAATATAGTGCGTTTGGCATGGAAGTGGGGACTAAACCAAATTTCGTCTACTGCGCCCTGGTCAGGAGTATTTGCACTATATCTACACTATTAGTACGTGTCAGATATGGGCTGCCATGCATCTACGACAAAAATTTAGTTAAAACATTAAATTTTTTGTTTGTTTGTGCCATTTATGGCACATAATCCGGTAAAAGGGTTTATGGCACACGATGCGGTAAAGGGTTAAAAATGATTATCGAAGTATATGTTTCAAAAATATTTTATAATTTAGTTAAAATCTAAAATATTGTATATTTTGGTTTCTTCTAGTAAATTAATATTGATGATAGGTTTTAGGTATAGGAGGAGGAAGTCGATGGATAATTGGTTTTCGAATAATAATGATCAGCCAATAAATCTATATGAAGATTCTGATATAACTCCTAGTCTTCACAGTAGGCACGAAAGTGAAAGAAGGAATAGACTGGTATGTATAGCGAAACTGAATTATTCGATTGTTTGCCATTAATCGTAGTTTATAAATATTTTTTATTTTGTTGGGTACCCCATTCTGGAGATTTATGGATATATGTATATGAGCAATTAGAAAAACAATATAAGAAACATAAACCACCTTTCTAGGGTGACGCCCTGTATTTAGGTATCTAGGTCACCATGTAATTTAGTTTTATCGATATTTATCGACAGTCCCCAATTTGTGCATTCCATGTCAACTCTATTGATTAGCTCCTGCAGATCGTCGATGTTTTCAGCTAGAATCACAGTATCGTCGGCGTACCGTATATTGTTAATTATTTCTCCTCCTATGATAATTCCTTTTTGATCTTTTAAAGCTTCCCTAAATAGATTCCCAGAATACACGTTAAAGAGGGTGGGAGATAGTATACAGCCTTGTCTTACGCCTCGTTCAATACTGATTAGCTTTGATTCTCTGTATCACACTTGTAAATATTAATAAATCCATTATTAAGTTAATTTCGCATATTTAGTATGTTAGTATTATTTCAGATAAAACTTGGGGAAGGAATTGAAGTGTACGAAGACCAACTACGTAGTGTTAAATGGAGTGATTATAGAAAGTTGACCAGAGGCTTAGCGACGATTCTATTCAGCCCAGCAGAGTTAGCGACGTGCTCCGTAACCGGCCAAAGATGGAGTCGAGCTGGCAGTGGAGAAAGACCTGTAAAACCAGCTTTAGACCGAGCGAAAGTACAAGCAATAATATGTAAGTATTTTATTAATTTGAAAAAGTTGGTGAAGTAGTATAAAAAAGCCAATCTCTGCACTCTTGTATGATGTTATATACAGTGCGTTAAGTTTTTGATTAGGTATTGCACACTATACGGAGCGCTAAAATCGGCAACGTTGCAAATGTTCGTTCTCCGACCCGAAAATCTACACCGACAGAAAATCATTTATTTTAGTTTAGTAACTCACAACAACGTTAGGGATGTACTTCTCTGTCGTCCGAACTCATGTTTCATTACGTAAAGCCGATTTTAATAGTAGGAAATTCGATAAAAATGCACTGAAATAATCGGTGCATTGTTATCGATTTTTATTAATGTGAAAATTTTTTTGTGGTTGAATTAAAAATAAAAGCGTATTTCTTTAAAAAGATAAAATAAAAAATATACTCTTATTGAAAATTAAAATATTATTCCTAATAAAATAAAAAATAATTCTTTATGACCTACAGACATGGTTCAAATAGTTGACCTTCTACGGCTGAACAGTACCCCAATCTGTCATAAAAACTTCTGCGAACAGATGAAAGAGTTTCTGCTGTAACAGAATTGGAGACTTCTCTTATTCGATTTTTTAATTCATCCAAATTTTGGGCTCTAGCCTCAGGATGAGCGTAGATAATGCTTTTTAAATGTCCCCAAAAAAAGAAGTCCATGGGTGTAAGATCTGGAGATCGCGCAGGCCACTTAATATCGCCTGTTCCACTGATAACTCGATTCGGGAAAGTATTGTTTAAATACTCCCTAATAATTCGAGCGTTGTGAACTGAACAGCCGTCTTGATGAAACCAAACATTCTCCAGATTTACATCAGGAAGATTGAGAATAGCGGGAAGAACATGATTCTGTAACAAATCGAGGTATACTCTACTATTCAAGTTGCCCTCAATAAAAAATGGACCTATTATGTGGTCTCCTAAAATGCCAGTCCAGACGTTAACTTTTTGAGGACGTTGAGTTCGGTAAACAACACTTCTGTGCTGGTTTTCCCGCGCCCAATACCTCGTAATGGAAGGATTGTGTCTCCCTACTAACGAAACAGAAGATTCATCAGTGAATAAAATGTTTTTAATAAAATTTGGTTCACTATTAGCCTTCGTTATTAGAGTTTCACAAAACTCCATTCTTCGAAAGTAATCGTCTGGATAAAGCTGCTGCGTTTTTGAATATTTAAAATTCTTGTAACCGTGCTTTTTCCATACTTTCGTTACAGTAACATTGCTAACATCTAACTCTCTAGCAACGCTTCTACTTGAACGTGTTGAATCTACCTCGATTGTTGCACAAATTTGTGTATCCCGGTATTCTCTTTCCTCAACTTTTTCTGGTAACACTTCTCGAGCGTGACATTTTCTGCAATTTTTGAGGCAATAACAACTCTCAAAATTTTTAACAATATTATAAATTGACTGTACACAAGGAATTGGTCTTCCCTCAAAAAACACAGAAAATAAATCTACACACTGTTGCGCAGAATTGCCACTATAAAACCATTTTATTATTTGAGCTTTTTCCGCGGCCATATAAACAGACATGTTTACAAAAATGAATTAAAACTCTACGCTGTTATACCTTTAAACAACCACGGTATAATGACAATATGACAAATTTGCCGACGGGCGACGAGCAAGTCGACGACGCGCAGTGTTGCCATTTATAGAGTGTATACCTAATCCAAAACTTAACGCACTGTATATCAAATAATGCTGAAATTCATGTATGAGTAAATCTCAATTCAGTTTTAAGCTAATCAGTTTTAATTCCTTCAAAACAATTTAGTTGTTGAGTGGGGAAGGATGCTATTCTATTATTACACATAATATTCTACAATATTTTATATAATATACCATATAAAGTACGTGCCTCCTGGTGGTGGGAGAAATGTAAGTGGGTGTGGAGAAAACCTTCACAGCAAACACTTTGTTGCATTATGCCCAAAAATCTTTTCAGGCTATAATAATGAAAAGACCTTCTTCAATGTGAAAAAAAAATATACTGAAATGATGGCGTTTCCTGACTCAACTAAGAGTAAGGAATTGGTAGATGAATAGAGAAAACTATAGGGAATAAAAACAAGCAGCGGTAGATGTGCTGACAACTTATATAGATGAGTACATGTCCCCGAAGGCGATTATTTGGAGTTTTCGATGAGTTCCTGAATGCCACCGAAAATATTTTACGTTACGTTATGCTCCATGTAACGTTTTATGTTGATTTTTAATTACGTGTTCTTATTGTATGTCATACGATAAAAAAAATAAATACGCTAGAGACAGTTATTATAGCATTCTAGACCATATTTTAGATTATAAAGAGAGGTATTTTGACATGCAATAATATCATACATGTACCTGCCAGTGTTCTGTAAAAGATTACAAAACAAAAGAAAATGATATAAGTCGTTTAGATTTAATGACATTCTGATATATTGATTTTGCTTTTTTATTTGTAGCGTATGTAGCGAATAGATTTCCAATGGTAGAAATAAGTAGGATAAAACAAGTGTTAGCATATAAGTGCAAAGAAAATTCAACGGCGTTTAAGATGAAGGCAGTCCGATATTTTGGGTAAGTTACTACAATAATGTTTTTTTACCGTCAAAGTAGTGGAAGGAAGATATTTTTCCCTGGACTTGTCTGACTTGTCCAAAAGGTCTCCGTTATCACTAAAGCTAAACATATTGTGTTTGCTGCCCATTCTTGTTTCCTACAACTGTCTAGCATTTTTGTACCCTGTACAAGTTTGTAGGAGACGTTTACTTAGCTTTTCCTAAATATACCAGGGTCTCTAGTTTGTTGCCCATATAGTTTTTGTCTTCCTTATCGCAGAGTTTTCAGTTAAGGTCTTATTGTAAATGCATATTTTATTCAGGAATTATCTTACTTTCTCGAATAGTCCGTAGGAGCCCTTCGGACTGCAGCCTTTGATTCTCCCAGGGTCACAGCTGATCCGTTTGTTCTACTCGCTTTCGTTGATCGTTCACCTCGATGCTATCCAGACAAGCTCAACCTTGTCTCTGTCTCCCAGTTTATTTAGTTCTTCGATGCAGTCCCACACCAGTCTGGAAGTAATTTCCTGATTTGTCAGTAGCTTCAGTGTCGCATAAATCTCCACTATTCTAGCGATTTACCTTGCTTCTTCTTGCATCTGAAGCAAGTATTGATCAGTGTACTTGCCTCATTATAAATATAGCGTCGGTGCATGATCTTCTCAATTTCAAACCTTGTTGTTCTTCTGATAGTGTTATAATATCATTCATTTTATTTTTTATCAGAAAAATTCTATTTAAAAAATTCCTTTATAAAATGTAAAATAATAAAAACCCTATTGGGCTACATTACACAACGTTTTCGGAATTAATATTCTATCATCACTGCTATCTGGATGTACCTACATGTTTGAAGCCAAAAAAATATATGGGTAAAAACCCCTTTATATGTCGGTAGATTAACTTTCGAGTTGTATTTTTTAAAATTATAAAACATGATGTTTAAGTTACAACAGGAATAGATTACAGGCAACGTAAGACTCCACTTGAGGTTGCTAGTCCTTAAACGAAGTCTCTGTGAGGACTTGTTGCTATCAAGTCTTTCAGAAGGCCTCAGAAATTTTATTTGTGCCTTTAACCGTCGCTTGAATTTCTCTATTGTATGAATTAAAGATTTTGTATACGGTACTTGTAACTGTTTCTTTGAATGCGATCCGTAATTTGTGACAGATAATCGAGTGCCAAATGTCTTCTCAATATCTATAAAAGTGGTGTGAGGTATGGATTCTTTCATATTTATCCCAATTATAGATTAGACCGGAAAGATGACATTGAGCAAAGCGCAGGTCCAATGTGGAAAAGACAAACAGAAGACAGAGACAAATGGGAGAGGCCTATATTCAACACATGACTAGATTTTGGGCTATAGATAGATAGATTAGACCGTCGTGAGACAGGTTAGTTTAACCCTACTGATGACTCGTCGTTGCGATAGTAATCCTGCTCAGTACGAGAGGAACCGCAGGTTCGGACATTTGGTTGATGCGCTGACTCGAGCGGGTAATGGTGCAAAGCTACCATCCGTGGATTATGTCTGAACGCCTCTAAGACCGTATCCTTTCTAGTCAAAGGTGGCAACGACATCTCTTGGAGTTCCGAAAGTCGAAAGGCTCAAAACAATGTGACTGTACTAGGCAATCGTAGTTCACTACGATTGTCGCACGAGCCCTTATTTTCGTTGAGCGTATCGGTTTACGGTGGGATCGATCCTTGCCAGTAGACCAGATCTTTGGACGGACGAACATGGATATTATAATATTTTCGATGTTGGAACTCAAGTAAATGAAAAAAATATTTGTAATTCACTTTGTACGATGCCATTCCTCTTTGTTGCCTCCCCATTTTCTTTGCATTAATTGTGTATACCACAGAAATTAGTTCATGCATTGTGTCAAAATTTATAAAAAATATGTTTTAGGGAACAGATGAGCAAGTAGAACAAATAGACCTGGATTTAGTCAATAAATAAAATGTGTCAAAATACTGGTATTTAAGTTTAATTAGAAGAAATATATCAAGTACGAATATATCACTAATATTATCTTAGTATTTTTATGGTTTGTTATTAAATTGTGTTCATTATTATTGTTATACGTATTTTTTGTTATTAATAAATTTTGAAAATTATTTGCACGTATATTTATTACATTAAAACATTTAAGGAAGTACTAAACAAAAGACACAACCACCATTACAACAACAGAGGCAGCAGCAGGCACGGCAGGAGGCACAACAACAAAAGCTGGGGGAAGATGGAGAAGAAAATGAATTAACTAGACCCCCAATGCTAGAGGAGGTCCAAACGGCAACCACATACAAAAAAGCCATAACGCACCGGGAATAGATAAAATACCGGCGAAACTACTCAAGCAAGAAGGAAATAATTTTACACAACAGATGTACCAGCTAATACGAGAGATATGGATAGAAGAAGAAATCCCCCAACAATGGAAGAAAAGTATAATCTGCCCTATTCATAAAAAAGAAGACAAACTGTTGTGTCAAAATTATAGAGGCATCTCTTTACTTTGTTTAGGAAACAAAATACTCACAAACATCATTAATCGAAGACTTGAACCTCAGTTAAACAAATACTAGCCAAAGCATGGGAATATAACATGGACGTTTACAATCTCTTTGTAGATTTTAAACAAGCCTATGATTCAATGGATAGAACAATTCTACCTAATTTATTGGAAGAATTTGGCATACCATCAAAATTAATACTAGTGCAAATGACAATAACAGAAACAGAAGCACATGTATGTATTCAAGGACAAATCACTGATGCGTTTACCATAACGCAAGGACTGAAACAAGGCGACGGACTGGCTCCAACCCTCTTTAATCGTGTTCTTGAATATGTAATTAGATGGTGAGCGGAAATAACATACTAACAAACAAATCTACCCATTAGCAGCATACGCAGATGATATAAACATAATGAGCAGAACAGTGAATGCAGCGGAAGAAACCTACGTTGAGTTGAAACAGAGTGCAGAAGCAATAGGGCTAAGCAATAAATACAAATAAAACAAAACTACTCATACAAACGAGATCACATAGATCGGCACAACAACACTTTATTGACGATATAGAACATGTGAATAGATTCATATACTGAGGAATGGATCTAGTCGCAAGCATGAAGAAGAACCGGAAATAAATAGAAGGCTTTTGCTGGCAAATAATACCTATTTCGCGATGGGCCACATATTCAAATCGCGATACGTACACCGGAAAACAACACTCCGGGTGTATAAAACAATAATCAGGTCCATAGTAAGTTATGGTTGTGAAACATGAGTGGTGACACAGAAATCTGACAATGCATTAGATGTGTTTGAAAGAAAAATATTACGTAGGATACTGGGAAAAATAAGTGAAAACAACAACTGGCAAATTAGGTATAATAGAGAAATATACGAGCAATATAGCGAACCAACTCTAGCACAATACACTAAACTGCAGAGATTACGATGGGCAGGGCACGTGGTCCGCATGCATGAGAATAGAATCCCCAGAAAATTACTAAATGCAAGAATGCAGGGAAAAAGACCTGTTTGAAGACCTAAAAAGAGATGGAAAGACGAAGTCGATGAGGATGCCGTGAACTGAATGGAAACGCGTTCATGGAAAAGAACAGCGGTAAATCAAAATGATTGGAGAAGCTTGTTGAAGGAGGCCAAAGCCCGATTTGGGCTGTAGTGCCATTGGATGTATGGATGGATGTTTATTACATTATTCAGAAAATATTTTTAATTTACTTCTATTTGCTAGTTACATTAGTTTAACTTTTCACAGAAGTTAAAAACCATAAAATGTTTAATAAATTCTAAATATTTAATCCCCTTCCACTCGTCTACAAAAGAATACATCAAACAGAGACAGCAGTATGACGAAAGGCATACTAGAATTTCCAGTTTTACAGCGTAACAGTTTCTTTGTTTATAACTAATTTTTAATAATTATTTAAATTTCCTATTACGAAAGAGGAGACTGCTTAATTGAATTCACTGTTTCCAACAAATACTCTATCATCAACACCTGATGTACCACATATGCCAACTCTATTATTGGAAAAGTACTGGAGATGGACTTGAGAACTGATATCATCAGTCCAAACGGTCAGAGCATGTTCGGGGATATGTGGATTATTTCAAATTCTTCTCGTAGCTAAAATAAAGCATACAACTAACGTGGGAGACAACAAAATTATAAATCAGGAAGACCTTAGAGAGGTAGCCAAAAATATGCGCTCTTTAGTAAAAGAATAAATTGTCACATAGAAATCTAAATTTAGAATTGTATATACATATACATATTTTACTAAAATCTAATTTAATACTTTCCAATTTATTATTTTTTCTTCTTGCTATTGTTATTGTTTATCAAAATATGGTTTGTATGGAATCAGCTACGTAGATATACATTAATATTTCATAGAGAAAAAGTGAAGAAAAAGTTTTTAAGTCCTACAAATAAGACAGACACTCGTTTGAATGCAAATAAAAATTAGAAATCGGTAGAAACACGACCATGTAGTAACTAGGAGGCTCATGGATGCCTAGGACGTTTTCATCAACTGGAATTTTACCGATTCAAGACCCGTAGAGCTGATGCGAGAAGGTCAAATCTAACGGAGGTTTAAGAAGTTGCTGTTAATGGTCAAGAGAAAGAACAACAAAAAAACTAGATTATATACCACTAATCAAATTAACTGTTACAATCAACAATAATAAGGTCACCAAAATTTATGATATTGGATCTAATATTATCATTTATAAACTAAAAGTATTAAATGACATATCGAGAATTATTTTATATTTTAGGAAAATATTGAATCTTGGGCAACTCTACAACCTGCAACTATTCTGGTAAATGTAAGTTGCCTACATTTGACACACCATTTGCGAATTAGCTACATAAAACTAATTTTGTTAATAATGTATTGATGTTTAATTATTGATATATGTACTTATAATTAGAGCATTACGAATATTGTGTGTATTACGGTTTTTACTAAACAAATAACTATTTTTTTTTAGATACTATTAATGTATTGTGAGATGTTATTTGTTATCAAAACAGTACGTATGTATATTACAATAATCAAAAATTTATTGATTTTAGATTAAAATCATTTATTGTAGCTTTAACAGTGTTTAGCTCCTATGTATTATTAAACAATTGAAACTTATTTATACCTACATCTTCATATAAAAAATAACTTTTATAAAAATACGAAATATTAGATAGAGGCAATTTAAAATATTTTATACCTATAAGAATTTTTCCATTACCGATATTTGCTTTTTAACATCACTGTATAATTTTTATTACTAAATTGGCTTTCTTTGGTATTTTCCATGCGATTTACTCAAGCCCAACGTGTAATTTACTTAAATCAACTGGGTGATTCACTCAACTCCACTCTGTGATTTACTCACAATGTTTAATAATTTTATTTTGCAATATATAGGGGAATACCGTTACGTAATTGTTTAATATAATTTTTTATTATTTTTGTTAAAAATGTAATTGGTTCCAGAAATACTTGCCGTTGTATAAAATTAGCTGCAAAATCCCCAATATTAGGAAATCCTGAATACTCTCTTAATACACAATAGAACTAGGAACAACAAAAGAAATCAACCAAGGTTGTGATGAAACATATTTAATGATTTTTTTAATGATTATAATACCTAATGTCAAAAGCAAATGCAATATATTTGATGATATGAAACTGATGATCAATGAAATAAATGAAAAGAACAAGATCAAAACTTGATTACGGATCTATTGTATACATATAGCTATATCTATATACCTCTTCTAATAAAATTCAATTAAAATAATTTTGATGTAATCCAAAATACATTTGGTTGTATCTATTTAGGTACAGCAATGCTTACAACGTAGGTATGCGGTAAACACCGATGAGTCAAAAAACGAAGATGGAACTTGAGCAGCAATATATTCAAAGAACTATCCACAAACTACAAATTACCATCAATCACTACCATATTTACCGCTGAGCTGAGTTGTTCGTCATCCTAACAGCGTTATCGTTAATTCAAGACTGAAACAAAGATAAATATACAATAATCTCTGACTCCTTAAGTTCAATAACCGTATTAGAATAACTGCAATGTCACAATCATCTGCTGCTTCTTGTTAGAAAGAAAAAGAATGGAATTGAAACTAAAAATATTCAGATTAACACTGGGTCTAGAACAGTTTCTACCTCTCCTACTGACTGATCTAAAATCATAAGTTTTTTGGGGGAATTTCATCACTGTAATGATGAAAGTTTTGGCGATTAGTCCATTATTATGGAAAGTGCACTCATCGAAAAAAAAAAAACATAATCAAAAGATCTTTATCGGATGCTATTTTATTTATAATCCGTAAACAAAAATGGAATCATATTTAAAACATATATCAACAAACTTGGAACAGCAGTCCCAACTGGCGGTACGAAGTCAAGAACCAAAAACATTCTTGGAAACGGGAAATAAAAAATAGAAAAGAAAAAGTGACACTAATGAAAGACAAAAAACAGTATAGCCGACACCCTAAAAATTGCTCTAGAGGGATACAGCGCTATAAACAAAACAAACTACCCTCTTATCTTAAAAACCATTTAAAAAACTGATTTGTTTAAAAAATCTAACTATATATTTCTTTTATCACATAACAAAACTAAAATCTCTCTGCTAATTTACCGTGAGGTAGTAATTATATTACTACCTCACGGTTAAATGATCATAAACAACGTCTTAATTGGTTGCTATGTTATGTTTACACATTGATTAATGCTGATTAATGGCAATGGGTACCTTTTTGATATGATGAGTTGACGTTGACTGTGCTGTAGCGATATCCTTGTTTACATTAGATTAGAGTTACCTCCATACTTTTATCGCCCATCGAAAGAAGCGGCGGTGTAAATGGTGTAAAAGAACTTCGAGTACATATTCGCGATATTGGTTATTTCACCGACACAAATTTGGTCGATGTCTGTATTAAATTATAAAATAACAAGTGTAATATGTTATAGTCAAAGAGCAGAGAAATCTGATTTTGCAATAAAAACAAAACGTTATATTTCTTTGTTTTTTAAACTGTTAAAAGTGAAATGAAAAAAATTATCAATATAATACCACCCCGTCGGAAAAAATTACTAGGTGATCCATTGGCATTTTCTTTAAGACCTTTCCAGCATCTGATCTTGTTTTTCTCGTTTTAACATCAATCTTCTCAATATCGCGTAGGGTAGAATACGGAATACCTGTTAGACAGGTTGCTTTTTTCGTTCTATTTATTGCCCTTACAACTATTTTCAGGATGATTTTGCAGATTTTTGTAAACGTTCATATACAAATTTTCTTGGATTGTTTATTCTAAACAATCCTTTTGTTTGGAAGTCGTGGAAACACTTTTCTACAGTTCCAGTCTGTGTCGTTGTTTTTTATATCACTTAAATGTTTGTAGAATTTTATACTTTGTGTACTACTACTTAAGTTCTCTTGCTCCAATGGACGAAAAACAAACTATAGGTGATTTTTCTCAGGGTCTGAACATTTTCTTTCAAATAACAATCAACGAAAAAAAAAACAAAAGTAATGGTGATCCAAAGAAAACAGAATATCCCCTTACCTATAAAAATAAATGGGAATATTTTAGAACAGGTAAACCAATACAAATACCTTGGCTGTTGGATTAATTGCAAGCTGGACCCAGAACAAGAAATTAAAGCGAGAATTGCTCAAGCTAGGATAGTTTCTTTAAGATGCGCGTTCTATTCTGCGATACACATATAAATATTAAATTGAGATTAAAACTTGTAAAATGTTTTATCTGGTCTGTTCTTCTCTACGGAGTCGAAACGTGGACTTTAAAAATAAAGAGCCTGAATAGAATCGAGGCATTTGAAATGTGGGGTGTACCGTAGAATTTTAAAAATTCCTTGGACAGCACGAAAAACAAACGAAGAAGTACTAGCTAGACTCAATGTAGAAAAAGAACTATTGAGAACAGTCAAAAGAAGAAAACCAGTTATTTAGGCATTTGTTGCGCAACGAGAAATACTACATCCCTCAGTTGATAATAAAAGGCAAAATAGAAGGAAAGCGAGGAATTGGAAGAAAAAAATTGTCCTGGTTACGTAATATCAGAAACTGGACAGGACTTGGATTTGAGGAACTCTTAAGAGCAGCTGAAGATAGACAAACGTTTGCCACCATAACCGCTAACCTCCATTGATGGAGACGGCACTTGAAGAAGAAGAACAAACAACAAAAAAATACTACAATTATAACGACCAACACAAAACAACGAAATTTCAACACAACTCAAAATTAAAGCAATGCACATTAATAAATAACCTCGTTGCACCGATAATAAACGAAAAATTTGTAAGTCCAGTCTCTTTAATTAAAAATAAGCAGTTGCCGATATAAAAATAAGCAGTAGAACAAGGTAAACACTAACATATTAGTACCGTTCAAATTATTGGAAGACAAAGATTAAGCAAGAGAAATGAATCTTTTTTCTACTTTTAAGGGAAAAAAAAGGGAAGTTCATTAGCGGAACCCAATTCAAAATAATTATTCTGCTCATTATATTTGAAGCCTTATTTAGTTAAAACATCTTAATTTTGGTGGTAAATAAATATCTTAATTTGTCTGGACTAAAGGTGGTATTTACTTGAATTAGTCGACATACGATAGATAGATGGAAGCAACTTTACATTAGATTGACACAACGAATTTGTATTATGTGTTGCCTATATATTCCATATTCGAATTTAGTTCAATTTTAAATTTTAATCGAGAAACTAAAATCATTCGCTTATATCGATCGACGTTATTAACTTCTTTTGATAATATATCTATTATATACCTATTATTTAGCAATAATAAGATCAAAACATGTAAAACAATATTTATGTTTTTATTTCCTTGTATTGGTAGATTAATTGTCCGTCTAACACATTTGTTTAAACACGAGTGTCAAACCTAATTGCTACATAATCGATTAATCCATAATAATGCACGCAATAGCGTAATGCAAATAACACTCAAATTTAATATCCACGTACTTTTAATATAATAATATTTATGAAGATTATTTTAAATTAACACAAATTATGAATCCAATGGGATATTTCAATAAAATTTACCCAACATTATTGAGTGATTCCCCGAATCATAAGTATATATACAGATTCGTATGAAATCCATTGACATTTTGTGATTACAGTTTGTAGTTGGAGGAACTGGAGAAGTTGATCAAGATTGCTTAGAAATATTAAGTGCGTGAAAACCCTGTGTAATTACATTATCATTGATTATAGTGTTTTATCAAATTACGAACTGTAGAAGACAAGCTGAACCAATAATATATTTCTTATTTTGATTGCAAGTAAGTATAATGACTTTTTAATTTGAAGTATAATGTTAATGTAGGTATAATGGAGGTTTAAGTTGTTACAAGTAGGCGTGACCTCCAGCTTAGTAACTGCAATAAAAAATGTTTTGATAAATGAAAACAATAATTTAGTTTATGCATGTTACATGTAAGATAAGATATATTTTATGATAAATATTTTGATCGACTACTTCCTATCTTTATGGTGATATATTTTATCAGTATTTGACAAATGTCATATGTATTAGTTCCTGTTGCTATTTTTGTATATAAGCGAAAAGTCATAATGGCGCCTATAAAGTCCATTGTGTCCCAAGTTGTGTAATTAACTATCTAGTTACCTCCAATATTTATAATTTATCTACGTTAGCATACAAACATTCGTTGGTATCAAACGGTAAGTTTTTTTGTCAGTTTTTATTTATCAGTAGCGTACTAAAATGATTATGTTTACCAATTCGATTCACTTAAAAAATAATAATGCCACAATAAATCTTTAAGTAATTTATGCCAATGAGTCAGTACTATTCTCCATATAATATATTTTTACTAGGGTCAATTATCACCTTAATTTTTCTAGTAGGTAACCCTACAGCCTACACTATTACTAGAAAAAAGAAACTAAAAATATACATGTTTGAAATGTAGTATAAGGCATTTTTTTAGGCATCTTAAAGCTAAGTTTTCTGATTTTAATATATTGCTTTTTTATTTCATATTATTTATAATATTGCCCATAATTATTTATCTTCTGTGGTATATTTTCATCACAGCTTTTCTAACTGCAGCATACGTGTACTAAGTTGCTTTGTTGCTTACATTATATACAGGGTGGACCATCCTATAGATCTCTGTAAGGAAAACCACTTAATATTCAAAGTTTTTTTCTTTATACAAACATACAGTTACAGGATCATTCCCACTACAATTTAAAATAAAGTGAATTATACAGAGTGCTCAAAAAAATAGTGGGACATCAAATTTTTAGTTTTTTCCTATGGAACACCATATATTTGATATTTTTAAATTGTGGTTAACAATATTCTGTACATTTATAAAGGTTTACTATATCTAGATACAGGATGTTTTGATTTATTTCGATTTTTCTAAAAACTTAAGGTTTTAGACCAAAGTATGTATCTACGAATTTAAGAATCAGGTGCAAATTTGTTTTTTTTTGCCTTAGTTAAAGACTATTTGTCCTATTTAAACAAATATCTACACTACCGAGCATAAAATTAGGGTTACCCCGTAATTTGAATTTATTTTAGAAATTATTATTCTGTTTTAATTATTTTCGGTTGTAACATAGTTTACTAATGGATTTCTTGAAAAAAGATTGTTCGTCAAAAGAAAATGTAAAAGAGTATTTTTGACGTGTGTATATTTTAAGCAATTCCTAGCTGAGCGCTTTCGGCTTTACAAAGCCATCATCAGAGCTATGGTCAATTTTAAATACCACTACAATGGAGAGATATCATTTCCTTATATTTCAAAATTATGATTTTTTGGTTGTTGAAATTCTTAAAAAACATATAAAAAACATTTAAAAACCGACACTGGACTTCACAGACACGTTAAAAAGATTGAAAATTTTTTTTTGACTATTCTGTCTACCTCCTCACATCAATCAATGGTCGGGTTCTTACACCCGTACCATGACAAAAAATTTTTTTCTATGACCTAAGTTTTGCAAGGTACACTGCCCTCTTGTATCTTCTGCATTATCTCCATCGTGCAATACAACCATTACTTCGTCTAAAAACTTTCTGCGAGATATTCGTTTGGTTGCCAAAATTATTCCCTGATCCATGGATTGAATAAGCGATGTTGTATTTTTTGCTAAAAACATACAGCTAAAGTTGCCATCTTCTGAACGTAGACTATTTTCAAAGGGGTGAGCAGGAGCGTTGTCTAAAAGCAACAAACATTTTACTTCTAACGGTATTCCCAATTTCTTCTATTCATGATTCCGTGCCTTTTGCGAAAGCGCCAGAGCCATCCATCATTTGCTCTGAAATGCTATGTCCATATGATTTGCTAATTTAATTGCAGCAGATTTCAATTCGACTGTTCGGACCGGAAACCCACTAGGACGTTATTGGCCGTACCATTTGACGATTGCTTCTTCCAGTGAAGTTTCACGATCCAATTTTATTCGTTTTCTGAGATTGCTGTTCTCTCCTAAATCATATTTGGCTTTTATTTTTTTTTTCTTTTTTATGCCATATTGATCACATATGAGACACAGAAGTTCTAGACTCCAACTTTTGTATAAACTCTACTTTTTGATTGATTGTTAGATTTATTCTTTTCCGTTTGTCCATAATTAAAGGGTAGGATTGCGAAAATTTTAACTTATTTACTGGTGTACACTAAATGTCTTCATTTCCAACGATAAACAAGGCAAACTACTGTAGAGTTGCGTGAATCCCCGGCCAGCGTGGTAAACACCCACGTAATCATTGAAACCTACGCGTTAATATATCAGGGAATCCCCTAATAATATGCGATGTTCTTACTTCTGTCTAAAATTGTAAATTTATATCTCCTGTGTGTAGAAACATTATATTATCTTTATGATAAAATATTATGTTTCTCTTACAAATGCTTTATTTTTCAGCAAAAAATATATACATATTACTATTAGAAATATACATTACGTTTTTATTTTTTTACATTTGACCCGATTTTTTGTCCGTTATATCCGAAGTCCGTTATAGAGGTCCTTTATATCGAGGTTTGTATTACTGACAGAGCAGTGAAATGTTAACTTAACAATTTAAAAACAAGTTTGTTGGTCAATTATTTATTGTCTTAGATAAATACAACGAAAAGATCGCCAAGTACAGAGATCTTGAGATAGATACAAATAAGTAGACAATGGATAATGGGAAGGAGCCAGGCGATACCTATCAGATACCTAAAAACTCTCTATCTGGCAATAGCAGCAGTTAATGCCAAATAAATGCTACATTGCCCTACAGAACCATGAACCATAGAAGATTAAATTTCTACAATCTTGTAGGTTATTTTTCGTGTAATAAATGATGTTGGATTAACCCTTTGTTGACAGACTGTACTGAAAAGTACCATGATGTTGTCAGGTCACATTTATAAAATTGACTACATTTCACTGACAAAAATCACTAGAATTTCACTAGATTCATCATCATCACACAGCCAAATTTGTCCACTGTCGAACATAGGCCTCCTCAAAATGTCTCCACTCTTCTCTGTCCTGTGCAGCTGCGATCCAGTTTGTCACTATTCTTTTAATGTCGTCCGACCATCTGGTAGGTGGTCTTCCACGATTTCGCTTGTCTGCCCTTGGCCGCCATTCCAAAATCTTCTTTGTCCATCTGTTGTCTCTCTGTCTTGCGACGTGTCCTGACCATTTCCACTTCAACTTCGTAATCCGTTTTATGACGTCTTCCACTCCAGTTCTTCGCCGTATCTCATCATTTCGTATTCGGTCTCTCAAAGTTACGCCAAGGATAGATCTTTGCATTTTTCGTTGTGCTACTTGTAACTTTTTTTATTGATGCTTTAGTCAATGTCAGTGTTTCAGCTCCATAAGTGAGCACCGGAAGTACGCACTGGTTAAATGCTTTTCTCTTTAGCTTTATTGGGATGTTTTCCTTAAACACGTCTTTTAGCTTGCCATAGGCTGCCCATCCTAAAGCTATTCTTCTAGATAATTCGCATGTTTGGTTGTCTCTACTTATTTGTATTTCGTGGCCCAGATATATGTATTTGTCAACCGTTTCAATATGCCAGTTTTCTAGTTCCACTAGGTAATAAGTTGGTCATCATTTTAGTTTTCGCAAAGTTTATTTCCAGCCCTACTTTTTGGGAGACTCGTTGTAAATCTTGTAACATTTCGTTGGCCTCCTTTAAGTCGTCGGTTATTAGAACTATGTCATCTGCAAATCGTAGGTGGTTCAGCCGTTTGCCATCGACACTCAAACCTCTGTTTTCCCATTCTAACATCTGGAATGCATGCTGCATTACGGCATTGAATAGTTTTGGTGACATGTTGTCTTCTTGTCTAACTCCCCTTTTTAGTTTTATTTTTTGAGTAGGGGTGTGGAGGTTTATTGCTGTTGTGGCATTTGCATATATATGTTGAATAATGCTGGTATATCGGTAGTCGATTCTACAATCTCTCAAAGCTCTTAAGATATCTACCATCTCGATAGTGTCAAAGGCTTTTTTATAGTCAACAAATACTAGAACTAGTGGCCGGTTGTACTCTATAGTTTTTTCAATTAGGGCCTTTAGACAAGTTAGATGGTCATTTGTACCATACCCAGGGCGGAAGCCTGCCTGTTCTCTTGGTTGGCATGTTTCACTAGATTAAAAAAAAATAAATTTCTATGGACTTCCATAACAAATATTATATTTTCGCAATATTTTCAATTCAAAAGTAAAAGCCCTTAACGTAAATACCAATATAATATATAACAATAACAATAATTATTATGCAGAAGGAATTATTCCAAACAACCATAATTCAAATTTTATTTAATAAAATAAAGAACAGGTCCAAAGTGCTCACATTATCTATTTTAAAACAATTATTATATAATATTAAATAAAATTTCATTAAATTTTGCGAAGAAAACGGTTCGGTGTTCGAAATTACGCTACGTTTGGGACCATATTTAATACGGAATTTAATATAAGCTTCTTAAGCCCAAAAAAGACTTCTGCTCGCTATGTGAAGTTACAAAAATTCATAGATAAATCTACATTAGAAGCAGCCTATAATACTCACCGTCAAAAAGTGGAACTTAGTAGAAAAGAGAAAGAAAATCTGCAAAATCCAACACTTACATTACTGCATACTATCGACACATTTAGTCGATGTCCCCATATTTTATTATAAAAGGAGAGTATCAACATTTAATTTCACAATTTTTGACCTGACCACAAATGCAGGACACTGCTATCTTTGGTTCTAGGGAATTGCTAACCCTGGTCGTGCAAATAGCGTCGTGTCTTTTATCATTTCTAAGGGACCATGCCAGAGAACAGGAAATAATATTACATATTCGGATAACTGAAGTAAGCAAAATAAAAATAAGTATATTGTCAATTTTTATCTCTATGCAGTACAGAAATTGAACATACAACCACAAATTTTTGATAACGGCTACTCCCAAAATGAGGGAGAAACATGCATTCTTTGATTGAGAAACAAAAAAAGGGGCGTTAAGAGGAGGACCAATTTATGCGCCTTCACAATGGGTCACAGTAGTTCAAACAGCGAAAAAATCAGGCGAATCTTACAAAATTAATTAAATGTCTACATAAGATATGTTCTACTTAAAAAAAATTGTAAGGAAATGGGAACCAATTATAACATTAACGAAGAAGGAAATCAGGTCGTCTGGAATGAGATTAAGATGATCAAGGTGGAGAAGACACTTGAAAATAAATTTCAGGTTAAGAGAAGCTACCACGATACAGAGCTCAGAACCAGTAATATAAGGCGAAGACAACTAGGGTTGGTGGCTAATACGGAACTAGTAAAGCATATTCACATCCACCAGGAATATCCAATCTAAAAAATAAGATCTGCTCTCACTATGTAAGGCTAATGTTATTCAAGAGCACTACCATAGGTTTTATGCAGATTTACCTGTGAACAATGGAACAGTAGAAAACCGAACAAACAGATTACAATATGCATGACTTTGATTAAGTATTAAAACCAAAAATGTTTAATAAATAAGTACAATTTTAAATAAAAAAACTTATTCGATATGAATTTTTACTGCATCATTTTCCAAAATTAATATATTTTTTAAAACCATAAATATGTGCTAAAATACCAATTTCCTGAAGGAAATTTCACATACTCCTTACTGCAGTGGTTCCCAAAGTTTTTTTTAGTTCGCGGCGCACTTATTAATAAACTAGAATTTTTCCGCGGCGCCCTGAGTCAAAATATTGATTTAACGTCTAATTTTAACTGTAGTTAATACGGTTTCTGTTGCAGTTGATATGGTTGGGTTAATTTAATAATAATGAAACGTACTTTAAATTAACAAACAATTTATTGAAAAAATAATTACAGGAATTAATGGGATAAATGAGCTTGTTCTTGTTCATTACACAACTTTTCAAATCTCGGAATCAAACTGGACACAGCTACCCTCATTTCTTGTTCCACGTTAATTTTCGCACGATATTTACTTTTTATTACAGCGACCGCCGAAAACCCAGCTTCGCACAAATAGGATGTTGCAAATGGAATTAAGATGCGCAGAGCTTTACCACTCAGCAGCGGATATTCATCTTTTACTGATATCCAAAAATCAGTTAGTTCCGTGCAGCCAAACTTTGTCTTCAACGTATTGTCGCAAGCCAAATCAATGAGATTTTCTTGTTCTAAAGAAGTAAATTCAGAGGGAGCTTCCGCTCTAAATGGATCTTGAATCCATGCAAACTGGTCGATATTATCAGCTTGAAAGTATTTTTCGAACCATTTGATAAGCTCTGATAAGTGATCCGCAAAAATAGATTTAATATTGCAAGAGATATTAACTTCATTGGAGATAATACACTCCTGCAACAAGGGACAACAATCACTGATATTATTATCATTAATTTTTCTCTTCCATACTTCTAATTTTTTTCTGAAAGCTGAAATCTTCTCCGCCAATTTTAAAATGTGCGTGTTGCGGCCTTGCAGGGAGAGATTCAACGCATTTAACTTTTTAAAGATATCACATAAGTATGCTAGTTTAATCAAAAAATCCGTTTCTACAAAGTACTTGGCATACTGGTGTTTTTCTTCTTCAAGAAAAATGTACATTTCTTGCCGTAATTGGAAACATTACCACGAGAGAGCCATCGTGAGTGGCAGTAGTATAACAGAGACGTGTGTCCTGCACCCATATCCTCACACATTTTTTTGAAAAACCTTGCTTTCACCGGCCTAGTTTTTATATAATTTACCACAGTTACCACACGTTCTAAGACCAAATTTAGTGAAGGACTCGAGATTCTTTGATGCAAGCGATTCTCTATGGATGATGCAATAGGTCCATACTGAATCCGGAGCTTTGTTTCGAACAAGCGCCTGTAATCCTCCATAACGGCCAGACATTGAACGACCACCATCAGTACAAACACCAACGCACTTTGTCCACTCCAAATTGTTTTCAACCACAAATGTATTCAGGATCTCGAACAAGTCTTGCGCCTTTGTACTTGCAGTGATTTTTTTACAAAATAGAATATCCTCCACAATGGTATTATCATCCAAGAACCTTATGTAACAAATCAAGTGTGCATCTTTACTAGAATCTGTTGCCTCATCCAACTGTAACGCAAATTCACTCTCTTTTATTTTTTCAATTATTTGATCATTAAGATCCTCCGCCATACGCTGAATTCTGCGACTGATGGTGTTGTTAGATAAAGGCACCGATGAAAGAAGTTTTCCCGTAGATTCTCCGATCATAATGTTTACCAAATCTACAGCAGCCGGTAGAATTAATTGTTCTGCGATTGTGTGGGGCTTTTTACACTTTGCAACTTTATACGCAACCTTGTATGATGCCAGCAAAGCATTTTTATGTACCGACAAATGCTTGGAAAAGTTACCTTTTTGTTGCTTCAAATCATTTAACTTCCTGGTAAAAAAGCTACGAGGTTTGTCAGCAAAGTTTGGATGATTGGCTTCCAAGTGGCGTTTTAACTTACTTGGAAGCATGCATTCTGGAGCCAAAAGTTTCAGGCACAATACACATTGTGGTCTCTCTTCATCATTGACGTTTGTTGATGTAAAGCCAAAATCCAAATAGCTGTCATCATATTTACGGTATTTTCGTTTCTTCACGACTCTACCACTAGTTTGTGGTGCATCCACTTTATTTTTAGAATCACCTTGTTTATTTAAATTCAAAAACTTTTCCATTTTTACAGCAACTTTTGTACACAAGTAGGTGAAACAACCCTGTTTATATTCACACTGATAAACGAAACGATGCGAACAGTATGAAACTACAAATTCAACTAACTAAAATTTAGATAAATAAAAATTTATAGTTTTAAAAGGTGCACGTGCAAAGAGACGATTGAATTTGCCGACCGGCAGTGATGTATGGCCTGTCGGTCCGAAGTCAATTTACAGTAGTGACAGAATTGTTTCGTGGAATTTAAAATATTACTAATAACTGAACTCGTTTATCATGGGAAACATTTTTATATAGGTATATTTTAAAAGTTAAAAAGTTGTGCCATGGCGCCGCGGCGCACAGTTTGGGAAACACTGCCTTACTGTATATAAAAATATGCAAAATTAAAGACAATTATGCTAAATACCAAGTTTGTAGCTTAATTTTTGGAATTACAGTAAATAATAGTACCTTGCTTCCTATGGAAAATGTCCATTATGGTCTGAATTTCTACAGATCCTGCCTAGTTTAATTTAATAATAATAATAAAATGAAAAATTAAAGTAGATATAACCCTATTATAGCCTTTTTTAGGTATAGTCCTTCAATATGGCAGAGTCCAACATAGAAGATAAGATGAAAAATTTAAACTTTAACTCTGATATCAACATACTATTATTAGGAGCATCAGGAGTGGGCAAATCAACTCTAATCAATGCATTTGCCAACTATCTTACTTTCACTGATCTTAAGGAAGCGAAAAAAAATAAACCAATGGTACTCATTCCTAGCAAGTTCACTGTGTCCGATAAAGAGGGGGAATTACATGATATTACTGCAGGAAACCCAGATGAAAACGAATTTATACAAACTGGGGAATCTGCTACGCAGGACGTGAAAACTTATGTTTTTCCTATTTGGGATGGTTCAATAAAAATACGTCTCATTGACACTCCAGGAATGATTGATAACAGAGGAATAGATCAGGTAATTACTGTGTTTTTAAATATCATTTTTAATTTTTATTTTTGATAGGTAAGTTATCAAAAGGCGATTATCAGTGTATTATCATTTACTTAAATAGTCCATGTCATATTGCCAATGACAAAACAATGAATAAAAATATTACTTGGAAAAGTGTGATCATTACTATTTTGATAACTTAATTACTTGATTTATGAGTTCCACAGTTTTTACTTTTTTTTTGTCAAATGTTATCGTTAAATTTCATTTCAAAAAGATAATTTGATTTAAATTAGTTTTTCAATTATAAAAGTGAAACAGCGAATAGAAAAAAAATAGCTTGGAAATATTTTATGCTAATAGGTTTCACTCTATCTTCAATTTATCATTATCATATTCATAGTAAAGAATAATAATTCATAGTACCCAAGTAGCATTAGGTATGGTTTAGATTATTTTTAATGCTTTTTTCAGTTTTACAAAGATGTGAAAATCGCAAGGCGATAAATCGGGACTATATGGTAGATGCTCTAATATCCACCATTTCTTTCGTTCTGGATTTTCTTTCACTAGTTTGGTATTATGAGACCGAGCATTGTCGTACAAAATAATGATACCTCGTGAGAGCTTATCTGGACGTTTTCGACTTATTTATTTATGGAGCTTGTTCAAGATTTCATGACGGAGGATTGCGTTAATATATATTGTCGTTTCTGTAAACTATATGAGTGAGGGTCCATTAGTAGCCAAGGCTGTGGGGGGAAAAGTACTCTCTTATCCAGGAATGTAATGTGGTCTAGGTTATAAAGAGCAACCTCAGGAGTAATCTCGCAGTTTATTCAACAAAAAATTTTTGGTTATTGTTCGTATAAAATCGAATGAGCCGTAGTAGGACTAGATTACTTAATTTGTTGCTGAGATACGTTAATTAGTTTATCCCACGACCTTCAACTTTGAATGCTCATAGGATTGCCAAAAAAATGGTAGAGGGCTAATTTTTGTTTCATTCTCTTCCTAAAGCCGTAAATTTCCATATTCCACTGGAAATTAATGGAAAAACATTTTTAACCGGCTAAAAACAATTATTTATGAAGTTGTAAAATTGCAGTTATAAACATTTAGAGCTGCTGCGCCCCCTGTGTACTCTACAAATTTTTAATTTGTCGATTTTTGTAGCTGGCTTCGAGACTAAGATTAAAAAAAAAGAGTTTTGTACGACCAATAGGAGCCGAGTGAGCATATATTTTTTTTTAAATCAGAGGCTTTATTAATAACTTTATTAATAACAATTATGAAACGAATCTGGCGTCATTTACTACTTACAAACCGTCTGTGCTTACGGCATCCGCAATGTTTGCCACATGTGGTTTCGGCGCTACATTGAAAAAAGGTAAACTTTTCGTCATTTTTGCAATAACAAATAAACTAAATTGAACGTATACCGGCTCAAGTTGAAGATCTTTAGAGCACTTTCATAATCTATACAGAAATTACCCATTACAATACTTACTTTAGGCAGAAAATGAAAAAAAACTCAAAAAATACGTATTTTGCACCTATAAACGCTCATAAATAAACAATAACCAAAAATTTTTGTTGAATGAACTGGGTGATTGCTCATGAGATTGCCCTTTATCCAGGTCACATTACATATAATCCTGAATTACAGTGTAAAATCACCCTTTTTCCCCCACAGCCTGGGCTATAGTGGAAAAAAAATGTTAACATGTTAACCTGAGCGTGCCTGCACAAGATTGAGCTTTAAATTTTGGCGACGAAAAATGTGCGTGCTTTCATTGTATGCATGCTAGCTTACTGGGTGGTTAGAATATTTACATCAAGATTCATCAACATTAATTATTGACGAAAGAAAAACATTATCGTTTTTCGTGCATTCCGTGAGATGTTTCAATGATATTGCCATTACACCATTACAATCCATTACACAATGGAACAAGCTGTAACCCAATTTGTGTTGGATACTATGGAAAATCCTATACTCACACCAACATTTTCTTAAATTGTTTCGACTTAAATTCGAAGATTTTATCTAATTAAGTCTTTCTGGTCACGGCTTATCATTCTTTCACTCTAACCTGACCAAAGATGGGTTTCAATCTACAAGCATCATATTTAATTTAAGTAGAAATATAATATTCAAGTTCTAAAGAGCTAAATGGCCATCAATAAACATATTTTCTTGCATGTCATTGATTATCCCGGTAGTGTTTCTTGCAGCAACCTTTGTCTGATCAACACGTGATTCCGGGCACATTTGTGCAGTTCAATAGCGTGACCTTGGATGACCCATTTCATTATTTGTTTGTTACACTTTAAAAGATATTATACTAACTTTGGAAAAGACCGTTTTAAGGTCTACAAACCATGTCATTGCATTGTGAAAATATTGTATCTTTTTTAGGACGATATAAATGCCGAAAATATCTTAAGATATATTGCCAACTTACACGAATTGCACGCTATTTGTTTTCTTTTAAAGCCTAACGAAGCCAGATACACAGTCTTTTTCCAATACTGTATGAATCAAATTTTTTCACGCTTGGATAAGACAGCATGCGACAATATCATTTTTTGTTTTACACATACGAGAGGGTAAGTAAATTTAGCTGTTTTTTGTAATTAGTATTAGAATAAGCTATGTTTTATCATTGATCACAAAACAGGAACAATTTCACTTGGATTTTCCTCAAACCTGATGGAAATTAATTTTATTTCTGAGAAATTCTAAAAACTATTTTTCCAAATATTCAGAGGATTTATAAAACAAACTCACGAGATCTTCAGGTGTCAAAACACTCTTTTCTCGAGTGTTCCAACAAATGTTTTGCTATTTAATCTAAATAACAATTTTTAAAAAATCGATCTTTCAGTTTTGTGAGATCCATCCGGAAACTTACTCTACTGTGATACAGCCAGCCAAGCAACACGATCGTGGATTCCTGTTGTCTATCTTCTTTTTCCAAATTCTTTAAATCTCCTACAACACCGTCGAAAACATCCGTTTTCCAAATATTTTTCCTTGCAGGAAGGCTTGAAGGAGAGCATACTAGGCTTGACTAGTTACCCAGAAAATATAAAGCCTGTGATATCGCAAACGTGGAACCTTCCAAATTGCCTCAGGAGTTAGTTTGTGAATTTCGTTAAAACTACCTTCGAATAGTGTGGCTGGACATTCTTGAGTGATGTGGTGGACTGTTTGTTCAGCAAAATTGCATTTGTCGCTTATCAGGCTGTCTGGAAATGTCCCATTGGTTAAGTAGCTTATTGCATACACCATGAGCTACTCTGATTTGATTCAAATTACACCATTATCGGCCTTTGTGTTTGACTGCAATTTTCTATTAGATGTGTGTTGTTAGCTTTTTCGTTCCATTCACCTATCTCACGCATCGATTGTGAAATTCTTTATAAAATTGATGTTCTTGCTGGCGGGTTTCGAGATTTCAGCCGCATTTGGTTCTGGTTTATCTGATCGATAGCTAGGACAAACCGTTGTGTTTTGGCTGGTGCAATATTGCTTAAAACCGGAAGCCGTTGAGTTGGCGTACTGTTTATGGTCCCTGTAATATTATATCTCGTGGTTTGACTTAATTTTTGATCTAAAACTAAGTCTAAGACCTGCAGTGACTGTTTAGCCAGCCTGGAACCCAATATTTGGCTGTTAAATAGGCTAATATCAGAGCGCTTGACCTGATTGTGTCTGACGTGGCTCCCCAAGACGTGTTTGCAAGCTTGTGAAAGATGTTGTTGCGGGTTTTTTAATTTAACTGTAGTTTTCTGTAAGTGTTGATTGAATAGAGTGCCATCTAGTTATTACACCGAGATATTGTGGATTTGAAGTATGTTCTAGTATAATTTCTTTGTTTTCTATGTTTAGTCTATGCTTTGTTTCGCGGCTATTTAGATAGAAAGCCGTAACTTCTGTCTTTGTCGGATTTCATTGAAGGCCCTATTTTTTAAAATATGTGTTGTGTTAATATTTAGGTCGCCTTCTAGAATATCTTAGGCATTCTTTATATTTCTTTCTTTTATACCCTTCTGCCCAAGTAAATTTGCTTAAGGTTGTAGTGGAAGCGTATGAGGTATAAAGGCCAAACAAGAGCGGCTTTAAAACCGACCTTTGGGGTAAACCGTTCTGCAAACTTTTGAATTTACAATTTTCTCAGTAACGGTAATTTGAAATAATCTATCGCAGTGCATTTGTTTTACTAGGTTATTAAATGATTGACATGGTATCATCTAGTACAATTTAGTAGTAGGTCTTCTTTCCGTACCGTGTCGTAAGCGCAAGTCAGATCAATGAAAGCTACTGTCGTTTTGATTTTACAATTGTTGTTAGAGAAATAACTTGATTACTGCGCTGTTCCTTCCTGGGATAAAACCAACCTGTTCTACTTTCTACTACTACTACTACTATCTTTCTCTGATCCTTTTTTTTAACCTATTCTCTATCCTTCCATTATTGGATATAGGTCTCCCCCAGTTCTCTCCACCTATCCCTATCTTGAGCTGTTCTCTGTCATGTGGGACCTCCTTGTTTGCATCTTTCCACCTCATCTGTGGTCTGCCTCTTGATCTCTTTGCATTGTATGGACGCCACTTTCCGATGGCATTGTTCCATCGTCCGCCTTGGAGACGTTCATTGTGTCCAGCCCATTTCCATTTCAGTTTTGCTGCTTGTTCTATCGCGTCTACTGTCTTTGTTCTGGTTCTTCCTCTGAATCTACGGAATCTAAATTATCCCCTCAAAAATCTTATAGCAGAAACTTAAAAGACGATTGGTCCGTAAATCTCTGGTAGGGAAGGGTATTTGTCTGGTTTGCAGATGGTCATAACTTTGTTTTGTGTGAATAGTTTAGGGATCTTTTGCGTCGTTATTATCTGGTTAAAGAAATCTAGGAGCCTCCTTCGAGAGTTTTTGGACCAGTGTGTTAAATGAACTCTGAAAATATTTTTTCAACTCCTGCACCTGTATGATAGTCTAGTGCATTGAAAAGTTGCTCGATCTCTATTTGCCTCATGATTGGCAGGCTTTGTTGAAGCTGTTTTGATCCTTTTAAGCTGATATCGTACTTCTCTTTTATGAACTTTTCTATGACTAACTTGTAGAGCCGGGCAGTGCGTTTCGCTATATCTTCTGGGTTTGGTGATAAAGAATTAGTTATTGGGATGTTAGGGTCTGTTTCCAATTTGCTGAGTAGGTTCCATTTAGTCTATGCGTAAAATCAATGTTTTGAGAGCTTCTCTCCACCAGGTGCTTCCTGTAGAATTCAGAGACTCGATAAGTTGTTCACCTACGTCTGAGTCTCTGGTTTGCTCGTATAGATCATAGAGGTCTTTACATTCTTCGGCTCAGCAGCGAATGTAGCATTTGGTTAGACTGCGTGGAATGTGTTTTTTAGCACAGCTGATTATTTGTTTAGTAAATCTTTCGTAGTCTTCTAGAGCTAGATACTTATCCCTGTTTGTCTTAATCTAGGTAGAGGAATTGAGTTTATAATGCGGAATCGTCTTAGGTGTTCGATAAATCTTTGTTCTGGGTTGTAGCCTTTTTGCCATCTAGCGATAAAAAGGTAGGCTTCTGTTTTGCATCGTGTAAAAGTCTAAGAAGTTCGAACGTCGCCCATTCAATTACTTGGTCGCCAACGTTGGTTATAGCCCCCCTCCCATTCAGTGTCATGACCATGTCTTCGGTATGAATATATTCATGCATGCGGGAATGAAGGAAGCACATCTGGTGGTAATATTGCGTTTTATGGTTTGTATATTACATTTTAATTGTCTTTCCTACAGTAGGTAGCATATTGTTGGTGATTAAATTCTTCTTCTTCTTCCTTCTTGTATGTAGGCTTTAAAGCATGTTTCTTCTTCAATATTAGCCTCCCTAATTGTTTAAATTATCGCACCATATTCTTCTTGGTCTGCCAATACGTCTGCGTCCATTTGGTGACTTATCTCGTGCTATTCGTACAATCTTATCCTCTGCCATTCTACTAATGTGCTCGTTCCACTCCTGTTTCCGTTTTGTCACCCATCCATTTGTCTTCTATATTGCATGCTCTTCTTTTGTTTTCGCTTCTCTCCCTTTCCAACAGACTTTTCCCTGATATTCGTCGGAGTATTTTCATCTCTGTTGTTTCTAGTAGTCGTCTTGTTTTAGATGTGCCAGGTCTTGTCTCCGCCGTGTCTGTTAGTATAGGTCTAATTGCTACTTTATATATTCTTGTTTTTGTGTCTTGTCTTAGGTGTTTGTTCTTCCAGATTGTGTCATTAAGAAATCCCGTCGCTTTACTTACTTTTAAGCTTTGTTGTCGCACTTTTTCTTTAATATCTCTGTAACTAGTTGTATATATTCCCAGATATCTAAACCTTGCTTTCTGCTTTATTATTGTCCCATCTATTTTGATTTTACATGGTAGCGGGTATTTAGATGTTGGTTATACCATACATTTGATTTTTTCTGCTGATATCATATTGTATTTCTTGGCTGTTGTATTCAAGATGTGTGTTAATCTTTGGAGCTCGTCTTCTGTCTCGGCGATTAATGCGACGTCGTCTGCAAAACATAATATTTGGATTTCATTGCTCCCCATTCTGTAACCATGACCTTTAAGTACTGCTTGTATTATTTCGCCCATTATTATATTAAAGAGAAGTGGGCTTATCGAGTCACCCTGTCTGACTCCACTTTGTACTGGTATACGCTGTGTTAGTTTTCCATTTATCTTTGCCTGTATTTGATAATGGAGGTAGATGTTTTCGATGGTTTGTATAATATTGATTGGTATGTTTCTTTTTTTTTTTATTAATAACATAAGGTATGCTGATGACACTGTGATTCTCGCAAGTAGCATGGAGGAACTGAGTTGTCTAATGAGTAAGATACAAAAAACAAGTGCACAATACGGACTCAGACTAAATATCACAAAAACCAAATGGATGTTAGTAAGCAAAACCCAACAACCACCACAGCAACTGATATTAGACAATGAAAGAATTGAACACGTGGATTCGTACATCTACTTGGGAACAACAGTTAACTCAAATTGGGATCAAGCGAAGCAAATACGTATAAGAGTAGAAAAGGCAAGGGCATCGTTCACTAGCATGAAGCAAATTTTCACTTCTAAAAGCCTCACCCTACCTCTCAAAATTCGACTTCTGAAATGTTATGTATTCCCGGTTTTGTTATATGGAATGGAGGCGTGGACAATGTCCGCAACATTGGTGAAAAAAGTAGAGGCCTTCGAAATGTGGGCTTACCGACGTATATTACGTATATCCTGGACTGAGCACGTGACCAACGAAGAGGTACTACGCCGGATAGGTAAAGAGAGAGAGGTAGGAATAAGTATAAAGAAAAGAAAGTTGGAATACTTGGGTTACGTTATGAGACATAATAAATATAGAGTACTACAGCTGATCATTCAAGGGAAAATAGACGGCAGAAAGGGTCCAGGGAGGAGAAGACACTCGTGGCTCCAAAACTTGCGGCAATGGTTCGGATTGTCATCTGCTTCAGATCTGCCGTAAACAAAGTCAGAATAGCCATGTTGATTGCCAACGTTCGGAACGGACAAGGCACATGAAGAAGAAGATGTTTCTTTTATACAGTAGGTGTAAGACGTCTTCGACCTGGATGTGATCGAAAATCTTTGTCAGGTCTATAAAACATAGATATGCTAGTTGATTGTACTTTGTGATTAAATGAGGCTACTATTCTATATTCCGGAATTTGACCTTATTACAAATATTTATATTTTTTTGTTTCTGTTTTATCAAGAACTTGAAAATAAAGTTTTTTTTTACTGAGTATGTCTATTATTATTTGTAATGTCGGTATTGATTATAATTTTCTAAACTATCTTCATTGTATCACATATTACTTATATTGAAAGTTAGTTTCCGTGTTTAAGAAATATAAATCTTATTATAGAAAATAAACCTTTTTTATTTTAACAGATCGGATTATGGAGCTGGAGAATCCATTAAAATATTGGAAAAGGCAATAAACGAAATTGCCAGCCGTCCTCCTTATGCTAAAATTAGTATGAAGAGAAATATTTTTTATTTTGATAACGAACCGTTTAAATATCTCTCAGCCGTTCAGCAAGGTATTCAATTTGACTCAAATATTAAACAAAGAAATAAAGAGAGCTGGGAAAAGTCTGCCCAACAGAGTTGGAGGTAAGTATCTTTAATGTAGCTAAACTATGAATCTTTTTACTTATAGAACTTCTTTATGTATGGAACTTTTGCCATAACAAATCAACAAGATTCTTGTGGCTTTTAAAATATTTTATAAGGCATATTCAAGCGGTCCGTTATGAGAAACTAAATTTCGTGACGTGATCAAAAAGAATTAACACTTTTTCTAGAAAAATATTTTAGGTAAATAAACTTTTCTTTTATTAATAAAACTAATATGGCACAAATTTTTATTTCGACAAGACATGAAATTACGACGTTAAAATGTAAGAAAAATATATAAAAAGCTGTAAGCTGACAAATACTGTCAAATAAGGCCGCTTTTATACACGCGTTTTTTGTCGCCTGTCGAGTGGCGACAAAAAAACGCCCTTTTTGTATATGAAACAAAGTGGAACTTAAAATTTGTAATAGATCACTGACCACCGTACCGTGCAATAAGTTGTATGTACGGTCCGTCCCAAACCCTTTTTTCAGTGCGTCATAGTTGATCGAATTCTCTCTAACACATAAAGCTAGAAGTGACAGAAAAAGACGTGAGTCTGTGATTATTATACATAGAACATAGAAAATTATATATCGTTCACGAGTATTTGCATATTTAAGTGAATTCTACTTACGGATGTATAATTGGTTGGAGTTTAGAATACGCTAAATAGATATCCAATCAATGATGCGCATAAATATAATTTGACGCAGATTATCTTGATCATGACAATACTTTCACAATGTCAACTGATAAAATGATAATTGTCATTCCAGGTTAGTATTTTCAGACATTTTACAGTGAAAATTTAATTTTGTATTTATTGTCATAAAAATATTTTAAATATGCCGAGATATACCGAGAAAGAACAAAGACTACATACCTATTTAAAAAATAACCTTTTCACATTTAGTCGATTACGATCCTGCAACTGTCAGATTTAACTAAAATGTCAAGCAATAATTTTCGACATTCCTAAAATCCTATATGACGTCACATTTAGTGACGCACTGAAAAAAGGGTTTGGGACGGACCGTATTGATAAAAAATGGATCCGTGTATGTACTTGGTATTAGAATATATAATTGTTCTTCTGCAATATGGAATAATTGTCCCTCATTTGATATCAGAGTCCATTCACGAATGTTCCTCAACCAAGAAACCCGTTTCCTTCCTACAACTCTACGGCCCTCTATGTTGCCTTTAAAGATCAGTTGTAATATTTAATATCAACTTCCCCTTAGTATCTGTCCCAGATAAGACATTTTTCGATGTTTCAACAGTCTTAGCAGTTCTCTATCTTTGTTGACGCTTCTTAGTGCTTCTGCATTAGTTTTCCTTGCCATCCAAGGTATCTTCATCATTCGTTTATGAACCCACATTTTAATGCTTCAATTTTGTTCATTATCGATACTGTTAGCGTCCACACTTCTGCACTATACAAAAGTATGGACCATACATAACACTTAATTAACATATATATTATATTAATATTATATATTATATTAATATACATAACCATTCTTTATGAATGGTTGATAGCGTTCTGTTTTCGATGTCTCTTTTGGTAGTGCCTTATTTAGATATTATAGATCCGAAATATTTATATTCATTACATGTTTTTGTATTTCTAATTTCTAACTCTGAATTGTTCTTCATCATCTCCTATTTTAAGATACTCTATCTTTCACATATTCCAGGCCATATTGAGGCCCCATTTTTCATACTCTTTCTTTAGTTTCCTAAACTGTAGTCCACGTCTTCTTCATCATTCGCTACGACTACCTGATCATCTGCAAACAATAAAGTTGTTCGACATTTTAAAATAATAAAAAAATAATTCACCTTATTCATATTCTTTATTATCTCTACATTAATTACATGCTTTTATTTTAACATTAGTAAGTAGACATACAAAAAGAATAAAAAACAATACCCCTGTTGTATCCCTTAAGCCCTGCACTGACCACTTTAAAAAAACAGCGCATTAAGAAAATTTTAGCTCTTGCAATTTTTTACAATTTTCGTAACAGAAATACCAGATAAAGTGAATATTGGGTTTCGTTCGTTATTATACCCTTTTGACTGCAACATGTGCGGATCCTTCCAATAAGGAACAAGTGGATGAACTGCATCCCAGAACTGGTTCTGGGCTGAAGTAGGACCAAATTGATGAACACCATAACATATTTCTAAACGGTATTCTTTCAGATGATCCCAATGCGAATCTTTCGCTATCCTAGACAAGCATGTCAGGCATTAGTGCACCCATGCATCATAGCACGACCAAAGTACTGAGACAACCTCAGCACCAAACATCACGACTTGCGAGATGAAGAGACTAGCCAAAGGCTAGGTAGGCCACAGTTTAATGCTAAAGAATTTTTTTAAACAATAGACTGGGCCTTTATTCCTCAAAGTAGTCACTTCATTTAATTTAATACACTCTGTATAACTTTGCTTTAAAGAAAAACACGACACAAGAGAAAATATAATGAAAAGTAATTCTCTCTATAAAAAGTAAAGTATAAACAGTCAGTGACACTTTTCAATGTAATTCATACATGTCTCTTGTATAGCTTGTAAGACTACTAGGCCCTTCTTTTACATAACGATCATCATTTTCTCAACAAAACTCCCGTCTAGGATCTGTGTAATTTTATTTTTCAGAAATTGTCTAGGTTAGACCAAACATTTTGTTTGCGGCAACTTCCGAATTATAACCATACGCTTGAAATTTCTTTTCTTTGTTTGGTAATTTAGAGTAATTTTAAATTACTCGCCAGGAGATGGGGAGTAATATTTTAAGGCTTTTGTAACTGCACACGTGATCTTCTCGGTTTTCTCTTTGACAAGGTCTCTTCAGTGTTGTTTTCAGCGATCACGTAATTAGTTGCCATCTATTATGACTTTTTATGTTTTAGATTAATTAAATATATAACTGGAGATAGCAAAAATAAGCCACTAAGACCGCACTTTGTAAAAAGTACAAACGCTATCAACGAAGCGAGAAGAATGATCACTCAACTCTCACAACCTCTGGCAGAGATAACCCAATTAATACATCACAACATGAGTGTTTTAGAAAGGTAGGTAAATATCAATTATTTAGCTTTTATCAGATGCATAGAGTAATAGATTTTAACCTACTATACTCTATTCACTGAACTTACTCTATTTACTGAACTCAGTTCCAACTGTCAACAAAAAAAATTGTTTATCCTTTTGACTCGATGAAAGGAGTACAAAAATGATGGTGGTTTATATGGGGAAATTATTGATGCATACTGGAATATAAATATTCCTACAATCGCTCGAAATTTATTCGTAATTATTTTGTTTTTGACGGATTGGAAAACTAGGATTGAAGAATTATTGGAAAGCTAGAAAACTTCCTGATGTTTGTGAGATGTTTAGTGTGGTCCATATTCAAAGAGAGATGGGAGGAATGAAAAGCATACAATTTTCTTTTCCCAGTGTTACGTTGTCTCTATGGGCTTTTAATAAGATTGACGACCAGTTTCTTTTTAATATCTTTTATTAAAGACCAACTAAACTTAATACATGATTATATCTAACGAGCCATCTTCTATTCTTCTCTACTTTGTATACCACTGCTTCTGAATTTTTATTTAACTGTTGTGCTTGCATTTGAGTTGTAATTATATTTTGAGCAATTTGTAATACCTTTTCTGTCTTCAGATCTACTTCTTGCAATAGTTTTTGCTTAATTGAATGGTATTTAGGATTTAAACCAATAATGAACATGTCACACACCAAACTTTCTTTTAAAATTCCTAATTCACATGTTAAACTCAAATTCTTTAGACTAGTCATGAAATTTTCAATGGTTTCACCATCTTTCTGTACTCTAGTAAGAAAATAATGTCTTTCTACTGTTAAATTTTTCTTCGGGTTACAGTATTTTTCAAATTTCCCTACAACTTCTTGAAATGTTACAGTATCCATGTTAAACTCAAATGACTTGTAAATATTTCTTGCATTTGTACCAATATAGTGCAATAATAAAGCTACTTTTCTCGCATCGTTTTCTTCCTCTAAACCTGTGGCTCTCAAAAATATTTTGAAATTTATGCTCCATTCTCCCGTTGTGTGCCAAATTTCCTTGCATTGACAATGGTTGGATTTCATTTCCTATTACGTTACTTTTTATTTTTACAACGACAGGTTGATTCTGCTCTATAGAATCTTGTTCCGACATGGTTGAACTTTACCTTTTGACCGTTTTTAATTAAATTTCTTTTAAAACCAACTAGACCACCACGTGCTGTTAGACCATGTTTCGACTTTTGTATGACTATTATAATACTCGTTACTATAATCTGACCTGAATTTTTTACTTCTGACACCATGTTACGTTGTCTCTATGGGCTTTTAATAAGATTGACGACCAGTTTCTTTTTAATATCTTTTATTAAAGACCAACTAAACTTAATACACCCAGATGAAATTTTGGCAATTTTGAAAAATAAACTGGTGATTCTGAGAGCTGTAACCTTAGTAATGGTCGTAACGTGGATGCATGATCGGTACGTGTGTATGTTGTTTTAGGTTAATCTAAAATTAATCCTCTTCATGAACATATATCCTATGAGATTATCACCTGATGCTACATATGGTTCTAAAGGTACATTTTCTTTTCCTGGTTCGGGTATCTCTATTAGGTGAATTTGTGATTTTTATATGTGCCTTTCGAAGTATTAGTATGTGAAAAATGTTGATGTTATTTTGAATAATAAATAATTAATTATAGATATTTTAATAACTTCAATTTTACACTTTATAGACACAACGAAATATTACAGAATGCTAATGCTTCTTTAGAAGAAATGAAAAACAAGCTTTATGTACCAGTTATTGCTTTGGAAAGTACTACCTTAAGTCAACCTGTAACAGTTTGTGCAGCAAGAAAGTGTTGTGAAGTTTATACTGTAAGTAGAAGTAATTTAATTTATGTGTATATATCTTTTTTTTTCCTTACCTTCTCAGAATTTTTGTGATTATAAACAATTTCTACACTAGTAACGCAATTGTGGAGAATCAGTCAAGAATACGGGCTTGATTTTAAGATCAAGAAAACGAAAATATATGGTCATCAGTAAGAAGCATATTCCACATAGTCAATTACTGGTAAAACAACAACAAACACTCCAAGTGCCCCGTTACCACTATTTAGGAACCACCATAAACGACCAATGGGACCACTCAGTTGAGATAAAACAAAGAATTGAAAAAGCTAGGTCAGCGTTTGTCAAAATGAGCAAGATATTTAAGAGTTACGACCTACCCTTAAAAACAAAAATCCGTTTATTGAGATGCTACGTGTTTACAGTGCTGCTCTATAGGGTTGAATCATGGACACTAACCGAGGCATCCATGGGAAAACTCGAGGCGTTTGAGATGTGGTGTTATAGACGGATACTGAGAATCGCCTGGGTGGACAGAATAACAAACTCAATTGATGGATCTTAACATCCGTAACGGATAGGCACCACAAGAAGAAGACAAACAATTTCATCGACCTCGTCCGGTTTTGCCTCTTGTGCAATCTTCGTTAACGTTAGCAATCCGGTTTGAAGATATCTTCCGTCTATTTCGAATTATTTATAAATATCTTATCTATTTTGTGCGTATTAACGAAATCATACCAATATTGCTCTCATTCACAAGCATGTATTGCCTGAGCGTCTCCCACAAGTTTTCATTGGTCCTCCTCTACGCCTTCAGGGTATTTACAATTAACCAATCCTATGCACTAGGTCAGGGGTTCCCAACTAAATTTTTCCAAGGACCCCTTCATCAAGGTACTACAATGACGAGGACCCCCACTATTTCCTAAAGACCTAAACAAACCTAAAGTTACCTGAAAAGAGTCAAAATATGTGAAAACATAAATCAAACTAATGCTATTTAGGATATATTTGTGAAAATACAGAGTACCTATACATTATTAGTTTTAATTTTCACTCCTCAATTAATGAGATACGTTGAATTTAACCTTAGAATCCATTATTTCTGTAATATTAGGTTCCACAAACTTGAAACTTTCACTCTGAAATCCGGCCGCATGTCAAGCCGATTCCTATCTTTGTTTTTCATGAAGCACATGGAAGAAAATGCTTGCTCACACCGGTAGGTTGTTGCAAACGGAAGGATTTTTTTCATGGCCTTGTCTCCAAGTTCTTTGTAATCCTTGCGTGCTGTTGCCCAGAAGTCTGCTATTTTCTCGCCATTAAAAATGTCTTTCATCGTACCACAACTCGACAAATCCACAAGCTTATCTTGTTCTTCTTCTGTGAGGCCTTGGATTTGTTCAATTGCTTGACAGCTGAAAGGATTTCGAATCCAACCATCGTCAGCGTCAGGTTCAGGGAAGTATATCCTAAAAGTCGTGGCTAGGCTGCGTAGGTGCTCGGCTGCATTGATCTTTATCGGGTCAGGTAAACTCTGCTCTGCAGACTCCAAGAACTGTTTCAAATTAGGAAAGTTAGTGAACGACTCGTTTTCAATCCTTGCCGCCCACAGCTGGCACTTTTTTACCATAGCACTGATCTTATCTTCAACTTTGAACATGTCTACATTTTTCCCTTGCAAACTTAAGTTTAATACATTCAAGTGTTCAAACACGTCAGCTAAGTAGGCAGTTGAGCAAAGCCAAGAAAAGTCAGTGAGAACATCTGCGTACTTGGTGTCAAGAAGAAAAACACGAACTTCATCTCCAAGTTCAAAAAATCTTGTCAATATCCTCCCTCGAGAGAGCCACCTTACTTCCGTATGAATAAGAAGGTGTTCATGCTCACTGCCAATCTCTTTGCACAACAAAGAAAATAATCTGGATTGCAGAGGTCGAGTTTTAATGTAGTTAACGATTTGAACTACTTCGTTAAGTATCTTCTGCAAAGGTTCAGGCAATGTTTTGGCTACCAAGGCTTCACGATGAATACAACAGTGTGTCCATTTCACCTCAGGAGCTACTGCTTTCACACGAGCTTGAAGTCCTGCTTTGTGGCCAGCCATTGATTTTGCTCCATCCGTAGACAAGCCCACACATTTTGTCCATGTGACGTCATGTTTATTGAAAAAATCATTCAATGCAGTAAAAATATCTGCTGCTGTTGTGTGAATTAGTTCGCATGAAAAAAGAAAATCTTCCAATATCTGGTCGTCCCACAAAAATCGAACAAAACACAACATTATTGCTTTTTTTGATATGTCGGTGCTTTCATCCAATTGAAGAGCAAACATGTCGCTCTTGCTAAGTCTGACCAGCATTGTATCTTCAATGTTATTGGTCATATCTGAAATTCGTCTTTGGACAGTGTTGTTAGAGAGCGGAACAGTACTTATTATCTTAACAGCCGCATCACCCAACATTCTCTTGCATAGAATTATTGCTGATGGTAGTATAAGTTCTTCAGCAATTGTATGGTTTTTTCCACATTTAGCGACAAGCTGAGATACCTCATAAGATGCAAGGGTTGCATTTTCATTTACATTTGCACCATAGTGTTTAGTAATGTTTTTACGAGATCTTCTAAGCTCTCCTAGTTTGTTTTTAAAAAAATCTAATGACTTACTCTTGTACTCTGGATGTTTTGTCTCAAGATGCCGACGGAGTTTTGCTGGCTTCATACACTCATTCGAAAGGCTTTCGTAGCAAATTACACATTGAGGTTTAGGCTGCTGCTCAGGGCCAGTGAACGTGAAACCCATTTCCAAGTAATCAGAGTTGTATTTTCTAATTTTTGCAGCACTGATCTTGGCCGAATTAGGTTTAAGAGACGCCGATGAGTTGGGTTCAATAGACACTGACAAGTTCGGTTCGAGAGTCATTGACTTTTTAACTTTAACATTGAATGTATTTTCTCCCTCTTCGTCTGTAGGTCTATCCCGTTTTAAACGATCCACATTTTAACCAACGGTCCATAACGTACGCGTAATGTAACTTTCAGTGAAAAACAAAGCTTTAAAATGTTGCACAAAATCACACGTTTCACGGTCAGGGACCGCACTAGCAATGAACTAACAACTAACTAACTGGAATGCAATCAGACAGCGCAATGTCGCCAGGTCAAAAAACTAAAAAATCACCAGACAATTGCTTCAAAAGTTGCCAGATTTTGTTCAAAATCACCAGATTGTTCCGAGTATGCGCAGTAACGAAAAATGTGTTACTGCTGGAAATCCCGACAATGTAGATTATTTACTATTTAAAACGTTTTATGTCGTAAACTTGGCCTGACAGACCACCTTTGTTTCAACAAATCTTTTTGTTGAAACACCTTGTAATTTTTGCTCGTGCTACCAAATTTTTAATATAAATAAAAACTGAAAAATAGTTAGTAATACACCTACCTGCCTTTGAGATTTTAGATGATCAAACCAACACAAAACGTGACAAAACTACAAATATGAAAAATAGTAATTCAGCCTACATAATCACTTAAAATTGCACAGCCGACACAAGAAAGATAAAACTGATAAATTGAAAATTGATATGTTGATATTAACTGAATTGGTTTGTTTATAAAACCAAGACATAAATTATTGGAAGGGTATGAACACGTCCAAGAATAGCGTAAACTTCGGGAAATCCCCGGTTGAACACCACACAGGCGGATCATTTTATATTACAAATTAGACTTTTTGTATGATATGAATATTAGTTAGGCAATTCTTAATAACGAATAACAAACTTAAATAATATAATTGTACTTTTTAAATTTTAAAATAAATTTATAATATGTATATAAGGTCAAAAAATCACCAGATATTGTTTTTGTCCCTGGCTCTTCATATATTTATTTTTATATCTTGCGGACCCCCAGGGGTCCGCGGACTACCAGTTGGGAACCACTGCACTAGGTGATTATTAGTGACCGGAATATATGCAAAATGCATATTTTGTATATCTTTTAAAAAATGTATAATGCCTGTATTTTCTGAATGTATCAATCTTTTCTCGAAATTTTTCATTCAATTTCCCAAAGTAATAAAACCTGTTTTTTGAATCATTTTGGACGTACGTCCAATTAATTAACAACCCTAATATACAAACAAAATGAAACATACATAAAAACTTTAATGGGTTTTTCGAAATCGAAAGGAGCGGAAGTGCCGGTGAAGCTTTTAGGAATAAGTAACTATATTAATTTTTGAAATTTACGTTAGTTTCACACTTAAAGGACCACCCTGTATAGTAGCAAATCCATCTTTAAATGAAAAGTCTACTCTGTTCTTTTGTTTTTGTTCTACTAAGCTTTAAAACAGCTGTCTTCAATAGTTGTTCCAGTCTTTATTTTAATTTCTTTCACTCGCTCTTACAACTTCTACGACGTTCTTGAATTTTTCCATCAGCGATTATACTAACTCAACACTTCGTCTACAATCAATGTGTATTCTTCTCAAGTCTGTCTACCAAATATATACTGGTAACCAATGGAGTCTTACGAGTGCAGTATTACCCACACACCCGCTTACATTGTGTTCATGCCAGGATTCCTACTTTATCTTTCTGCCAGTGTATTGTTGCTTATATAATACAGAGGAGGCATTTACTATGTAATTTCTAGTCTAAATCATCATAAATATATTTTCAAAAGATCAAAAATTAACCGTTCTCCTTATTTTAGGTAGGAGGAAAAAATGTTTTTCATTATAAACAGAGATGTCACGATCCATGCTACTTACAACAAGTTCCTAAAGAAATTATTGGTGCAGCGGAACTAATACACTGTGCGGCGATGAACGGAACCTCAACTTGTGGCAAGTGCATGTGTGACTTTAAAGTGCACATGCACGTGTATTATCTAACAAAAACTGTAGAAAAAGAAGAAGTTGATGAAAATATCCAAAGAAACATAACCAACAGAGAAGGTCTGATAAAAAGTAAACAACAAGTAATAAAAAATATAGAAGTAAAGCATAGTGAGTTACACAACGAACATCAAGTTGTTGTAGAAGCTTGTGCTAAATTTGCTCACTTCTTACAAAACAACGCTATCACTCCGTTCAATGATTCCTACAAGGAGTATATTGAGTATCTTATTAACAGGTAAAGTACAAAATGTTAACGATTTTTTTTTATATAAATAGAGGCTAATATCTGATTCTACATGTACTATTTTTTATTTTTTGAAAACAATCCACAGTATCATAAAAACATCTACTCACCCAGTCGAGTTGTGTTTAATGTTTATTGTAGTGTATTGAATCTTGGGAGTTTTGAAGACTTGCTCAGTTTCTTTGACTTGGCCATTTCGAAAATATCAACTCTTTACTCTTTCATACCAGGCTCTTGGTTAAAACACGTAAATTGCCCTTTTTAACTTAGTGACTTTATTATCATGTTCTGAAAAATCAAACCTTTCAGTAACATCTTAAAAATATTTTCTTTCAAAAGACCTTTTAAGAGAGCTGTTGTTACATCTATAGTCGGACAATTTTCAATTAAAGGTGACTAATCTACAAATTGAACTAAACGGTAGCGGCAACCATGAAAAATTTCATTAGTAAATTCTTACCGGGGTCATTTTTATTCTGTATGCTTCGCCATGTAAATATGTAAATTTGTAACCCATCTAAGATAAATTTGCCCCCGTAACAGTATAAATTGGTGCGATTCACGAGTGTATAGTGAGACAAGTTCATAGAATAGTTTGGAACATCGGTTAAAATTATCAATATTTTGCTGGGTCTATATATATTTACGTTTTTAGAAAGAATGTTAATTAGAGAAATATGATATCTTAGCTTATTGAAGTTTATGAAATATATCTTCCAGATTTTATACAATGTACATACAGTGCCGGATTAACACTTTTGCCGCCCATGGGCCAGAGGTCTGCCTGCCGCCCTAGCGGGGGTGCAACACCGGGGGGGGGGGGTCCGGGCCCCCCCCCCGAAAAAAATTGAAATTTAGAGGCAAAATAACGCATTTTGGGACATTTTCCAGCGCTCAACTGTCTCTTGATATTGTAATGGTTTTAGTACCTCTCATGATGAAAACAAGAAACTATGTCCTAAAATTGCGTTTTATTAATTAAAATAAACTATTTGACAAAACTCCGTTAATTACGAAACCATTTTCTACAACCGTGATATTCCATTACTTAAGATTACAATAATAGTAAATAAAATCGTTGTTGATATTATTTTGTGAAACATCATGCAGCTCGTAATTCCCAAACTCAACAATTCTTTTATAGTTTTATGACTATTTTGGCTGAGAATGATTGATTTGGAGTGAAGTGAAAATTCGGCTTCGTTACTCGGCGACGGCTCACCTGTGAATGTGCCCGCAGGCTTTGAGCCATAATCGGTCATTGCTGTCGATTTATGGGCAAAAACAGGACAGTTAGGAAGGGGCTAAAATTAGTAAAAGGTGTACAGAGTAAGACTGCAAAATAAATGATAATTTCTGTATTGAATATAGGATAATAACAAATATATACAACATCGAAATATAACTGTTCAGAGCATACAAATCACATATCCAAACAAATAACTTACTCACTAAATTAGCTTTGTTAAAGTAAATATAACTTAAAACTTCTTCTTTCTTGCACGTGCATTGGAAAAATCATCAACAACTGCACTGAAATCGAGTTTTGTTGTCAGTTCATGTTCTATGGCTAAAACAGCCAGGCTGACGAGTCGTTCTTGAGTCACTGTTGAACGCAGATAGTTTTTTACTCTTTTCAAGGTCGAAAACGATCTCTCAGCAGAACAGTTTGTAGCAGGAGTTGTCAAAAACATTTTCAAACCAATAGCCACGTTGGGAAACAAGTCCTGTAGATTTTTTTCTATCAAAAATCTGTACAAGTTTGATAGTGAAAAGTCTTTTTCGGCTTCTTTGTAGTTTCCTCGGATCAGAAGTCCTTTCAGATGGATGCACTCGCATATAAACTCTGACTCTTCAATGTCTTCAATATAGATTTTCTGCAAAGACGTCGCGTTAGCAGTAATTTCTTCGGTAGTTAGAGTCTTTAATTTTGTTAGAAATGAAAACTTTGCAACGAAGTCTGTGTACACAGAGATCCTTTTGTCTAACTGAAACTGAAGTGTTTCCACGATGATGTCATAACTTTGTTGAAGACAATTTCCCCTAATGTCATCATCCTCATCATAAGTTCTTTCTTCATCTTCTTCTGAAGATTCATCAAAGAACCTCTTTCTTTTCGCCTTTCTTTTTGGGCGATCAAAATCTTGCTGCACCTGCGGCTGCGTCTCTTGTGGAAGTTCTGGCTCATCGTTCTGTCTCATTTCACCTTGCGCAATTTGCAGTTTTTTTTCGCCCTCTTTCTTATAGTGGGTAAACATGTCTTTCATGTTCATCACATACTCTGTGAGTGAGTTGTACAGGATTACAACGCTGTCCACGGTCATATTTTCAGCCTGGATCTTTTCACTGACTGAATTAAATTTTTGAAGTACATCTCCCCAAAGGGCTGCCATGAAACATGTTTCTAGAGACATTAGTTTTCGCAACAACCCTTTGGCTTTGGATTGTGTCTGTTTGTTTTCATGATTGCTTGAAGTCATGTCTATCAGCGTCTTGACCATGGGTTTGTAGTCTTTATTAAGGCTTTTGCAAGCTTCTTCCCTTGCAGACCATCTTGTAACACTGAGAGACTTCAACGACGTGTTCTTGTCCTTTCCTGTGGCCGTGAAATTTGACAGAAGAAGATTCCACCTGTGCGTAGAAGACGAGAAAAAATTGTACAATCCTTGCAAGAGATCAAAGAAATGTTTTGCAAGAGAACAGCATTCTGCTGCGCTTGATCCCACTAAATTTAGTGAATGCGCTGAACAAGGCACATAAAATATCAAGGGATTCTTTTCTTTAAGTCTTGCCTGCAACCCCGAGTACATTCCTGACATATTTGACGCGTTGTCATAGGACTGTCCCCTACAGTTTTGTATGTCCAATCCTTTCGACTGTAGGAAAGAAAGCACTGAGTTCACTAGTTCTTCACCTGTATGACCTTGATTTTTCATAAATTCAACAAAATGTTCTTCAGGGATTCCCAATTCATTCACATACCTTAATATGAAAGACAATTGATCAATGTGTGTTACATCAGGGGTGGAATCTACTATTATAGAATAGTACTTGCTTTTCTTAGCATCATTCAAAATTGTATCAATAACGGTTTTTGCCATTATTTCGATGAGTTCTTCACAAATGGTTGATGATAGGTATGACTGATTGCCTTTACCCGCTTTCCCATATTTTTCAATGTGTGCTTTCAAAAATGGATCAAATTCGGCAATCAGCTCCAAGCACATCATATAGTTGCCATTTGAAAAAGAACCAAATTTTTCGTCAGTCCCCCTAAAGGCAAGACCACGCGAGGCAAGTTTTTTTATTACGGCCACCACTCTCTGGAGAACTGCCTTCCAATACCTTATTTCTTCTTCCACTTGGTTTTGTAGAAGCTTATCGATCCTCCCGGCTGCTTCTGCTCTTTGTTTGTATACTATTACACTATTGTAGTGAACGTGCGAGTTTTCATGCTCTTTTATTCTCGCTGATGCATGTTTCCAATCACTGAACCCATTTTCAGTAAACTGAGTAGAGGTCGAACTAAACAATTTGCATGGACCACAGAACAAAGAGCCTAAACTTGGTGAGTAAATCAAGAAATCTCTATTTACAATTTCGCCATTTGCAAGTTTTCTGTCGAATAGCCATTTAGCCAACACTCTTTTCCTGTCTGGATATTGCCTTTCAGATTTTTTAAAATCGCAATCTTTATTTTGATTCCATCCATTTTTAACAAAATATTCCCGCGTCTCTTCATTCACTATCCATAAAGCAGGATCATAATTTGGTTTCAAATGGACAGAAGAGTCAGGTTCAGAGACTGTTAATTGATCTTCAATCTCGTCAACAACAAAAGTTAATTCGGATATAGCTGGTTTGATCTTGTCAGTATCAACACATGACGAAGCTGAAGGTGCTGATGCTGAAGGGGTTGAGGGTGAAGCTGAAGGGGTTGATGCTGAAGCTGAAGGGGTTGATGTTGAAACCGGAGGGGCTGATGCTGAAGCTAAAGGGGTTGATGTTGAAGCTGAAGGGGCTAATGCTGAAGCTGGAGGGGTTGATGTTAAAGCTGAAGGCACTGATGCTGAAGCTGTTGAAGCTGAAGGCGTTAATATGGAACATACTTCTAGTTCTACTTCACAAAATTCTTTGACACTTTCTAAAAGCACTGGTTCTGGTGGCACTGGTAGGTTACTTCTTGTAAAAAATGTATCAAGCTTCGCAGTTTTATTTACAACTTCTGTCAATTTTTTTTTCTTCTCTTCGGCTACTTTTTTGTATTGCCACCCACTGAGCCGTTTGCGTCCATCCATTTGTACAGCTGCTTGTTATAGCATCAATGACATCGGAAGTAAAGGTCTGACTGTAAAAAAAAGAATATCTGTATAATTCAAAACTGTAGTACGATACGACAGGAAAAATGAAGCGAAAAAATGAGGGAAGCGAATTTCCTTCCATTACTTATTCAACTCATTGTGAAACCTATACGTATGGCAACATGCCGAATTACATTGCTTCTCTTACTACCACAAAGTAAAATGGCGAAATATGCAAAATTAAATAGCCACAAAATTTGACAACTTACGGCCTTACGGCCTACACAGCACAGCTCTCACCGTCTCACTACTCCTTACACCAGTGCTAACTGCTGCTGCATAAACTTATCTGAACCTTTAGATGTAAGATCTATATTAACTTACATTACCATTACTATAAACAAATAAATATTTCTTACCTCACAAGTTACAATTTCAAAATGTTACTCCGCTCAAAACAAATTACAAAAACGTTAAACCTAAACAGTTAGACAGACTGCAGTACGTGGAGTTGAGACCAGACAACCGAATGACAATGGCGCGTGGCGGTGATGGAGTTGGTGGGGGGAGGGAAGCGGCAAGGCGACAAGACGCCTGCCATCAGCCAATGCTAGCAACTACTACGATCCCACAACTAAATTTCCCGTGCGTAGCGTACGATACAGACTGCCGCCTCGCCCCTTCGACTCACTTGGATAGAGTGGCGTAGCGTAGTGTACTGCGACACATTACACCGCGCAGAGTGTCGCGTTATAAATAAATAATAAACAATAAAATAGTTTTTTAATATTTAATGCTCAGGTTCACTGGTCTTGATAATCGATAATAAAGCTTTATAATCAATCAAAAATAATTACACTTTTTTTTTCTCAAATCCGCCGCCCCAAAATTTTGCCGCCCTGGGCCGCGGCCCAGTTGGCCCGTGCCTTAATCCGGCCTGTGTTACATAGGCTTGTGTACATTAGTGTATTATTGGGAATATATTTATTAAATATACTTTATGATTAACTTTAAAATAGTTTTGAGGTAAGTAAGTAAATTTAAGGCCAGTTTTATTCTTTATATAGTATTAAACCCTTAACGGCCGCTCAATATACAAAGAGAAATTTGACAATTAATTTATTAGATTGGATTAAAAACACAAATTAGGAATAAATTACAACAGAAAGATTTTTTTTTCTCATTTTTAAGGAAAACAGTACAATTTTTATTTAAAGGAACATATTATATCTTAAACGTAAGTTAAATTTTAAGGTAAAAATTTTCGAAATATTCGGGATGTAGATGCATTCTACACTTTTTAGATAAATAAATAGTATTACTTTTGTACATCCTACATTTTTTGCACTATCGTCTCTTTTTATAATGTGGCCAATATTGTCGAATCTGGTTTCATTTGGTAAAGCAAATTTAGATTGACGCCCATGTACTGACACTGATGTAGCGATTTCTTTACTATTATAAATTAAAATTATAAATCTATGTCGGCTCATGCTTTCTCTTATAATATGCACTTCTTTTATCCTCATCCTTTGACCAATGCATATCAACTTGAAGCAAAGTGTAAACCAGATAATATACATATGCTAATAATTTTTTTAAATCTATGTTATTCATTTCAAAATTGTGACAGTTATTCTCAATTACTTTTTTATCAAAAAGAGTGAAAAAACTTCAATATATGACTTGCCTACATGGTTGGCTTTTATATTGTCTAAATATCAATCAGACTGATGTTGAATTACTATTGAGCACGAAAAAATATCGGTTATTACAACTTGAGATAAATTTGGATTTACTATTTTTGCCTGGTTTTTTCTTTGGACGTTTTATCTGTGGTTCAGAGGAATATCATAATCAGAATCGTTAGAATTCCCAATCACTTGTATTTCATATGTACCTGCAATATCAATTTTATTGATTCTTCACAAATAATATTATCATCAATCTCTTCAAGGAATACAATAATATACCAGCAAACGAATGGGAAAGATACCTGACGGAACTGTTTAAAGCAAAGAAAAATAATAATCAACACAATAACGTACCTGAACTAAGAGACGAAATAGAAATCAGTTTTTACGAAGTAGAAATAGTCATAAATTCACTCAAAAATAGAAAGTCACCAGGACCAGACTTAATAACCAACGAGCTTCTAAAATACGGATGAGAAAGTTTAACCCTAGAGATGACAAAACTTATACAAAAACTAATATTGCACTGCAAGATACCAGAAGCATGGAGAAACAGCATATGATACCAATGGTCAAGAAAGGAGATAAAGAAGACCCCAACAATTATAGAGGTATAAATCTACTGAACACCGCACTTAAGCTTACCACAAAAGTCCTAACAACAAAATCAATAAACTAACAACTTTATCAGATGAACAACAAGGATTCAGATCTGGATGATCCTGCATAGACGCCATATTTGTACTAAGACAAATCACAGAAAATGCGTCATATCTATGTTTTATAGACCTGACAAAGGCTTTCGATCGCATCCAAGTCGAAGACGTCTTACACCTACTGTATAAAAGGAACATACCAATCAATATTATACAAACCATCGAAAGCATCTACCTCCATAATCGAATACAGGCAAAGATAAATGGAAAAACTAAACACAGTGTATACCAGTACAAAGCGGAGTCAGACAGGGTGACTCGTTAAGCCCACTTCTCTTTAATATATTAATGGACGAAATAATACAAGCAGTACGTTAAAAGTCATTGGCTACAGAATTGGGAACAAAAAAAATCCAAATATTATGTTATGCAGACGACGCCGCATTAATCGCCGAGACAGAAGACAAGCTCTAAAGATTAACACATGTCTTCAATACAACAGCTAAGAAATACAATATGATAATATCAGCTGAAAAATCCAAATGTATGACATTTAAATACCCACTACGGTGTAAAATCGAAATTGATGGGAAAATAATAAAGCCGTAAGCAAGGTTTAGATATCTGGGAATAGATATAACTAGTTACGGAGATGTTAAAAAGAAGTACCACAGCAAAGCTTAAAAGCAAGTAAAGCGGCAGGTTCTCTTAATGACACAATCTGGAAGAATAAGACAAGACACAAAAACAAGAGTATATAAAGCAGGAATTAGACCTATATTAACATACACGGCTGAGACAAACATGACACATCTAAAACGAGGACGACTGCTAGAAACAACAGAGATGAAAATACTCCGACGAATATCAAGGAGAAGTCTGTTAGATGGGTGACAAAACGAAAACAAAAGTGAAACAAACACATCAGTAAAATGGCGAAGGATAGAATAGTACGAATAGCACGAGATAAGTCACCAAATGGACGAAGAAGTATTGGCAGACCAAGAAAAAGATGGTGCGACAATTTAAACAATTTAGGAAGCTAATATTGAAGAAGAAACAGGCTTTAAAGCCTACAAACTAGAAGGAAGAAGAAGAAGATCAATGTCTTCTACATCAGAAACTTTCTAATCTAATCTCGGCGGCAAATAAACCACATTAAGTGGCATTTACACAATCTGAGTCTTCTTCTAACAAACTAGCTCTTTAGTAGTTAGTGCCATCTTCATTTCATATTTCGAGAATTTACTGAAATAAACAAATGCACTGCTATATAAACGCATTCATATGATAATAGTTTAGCTTACTTAATTTTAATTTTATATGAACTTCATAATATATTTTCATATTTATATAAACAAATAAACACAAACTTTCAAATTAAGTTAAAAAAAAACAAATATAACGTTTACAGCACACAGTAATTCTATGAATGGAGAATGATGTGTAATGATGTGTAATTAAAATTGCAGATTGTTTTTAGTCTAATGAAAAAAAAATATTTTCCAAATTTTTCTGTTTTTGAAGTTCTGTATTAGATACTCTCTAATAAGAATAAAATTTTATTTTATTTTGTTAGACAACTATAAGATACCTATTAAAAGAAACATGATAATTTAATAATGAAATCGGTCTTAGATTTAATTTTTACGTAATTATTTATGTGTTTAAATAAATAATTAAAATTTTTTTTGGTACGCCTCTGCAAAATTTATAATTTCAATACGATTTCGTTGAAAGTTTATTGTTAAGGGCTTCGTTAAGTACAATGTTGCCAAGTAATCACCTTCAACTTTTAGTATAGTTAACAATTTTTATTAAACTTATCTCTCCACCAACATGCACTGTGATCAAACGTTGTTCTTTGAATTATGGCATTTTTTGTTTACTACACTTGTAAATATCGCATAATATATTTTATTTTGAAGACGTTATGCTGTTTTCGATTCGAGTAAAATCACATTTTAAATGTTTTTTTTTTTGTAGAGAAAGGTCATTGGGAAGAGACTGTAATAAAGAAACAGTCAGACATCTTGAAGGGCTTTTACTTCAGTACGTCGAAATCAAAAAACGTTTTGATGAAGCTCTTAAGAGTAACAAAGCCATCGGCAAAGATGCTGTCATTACTGCTCAGGATGTCAGTGAAGCTATTAATAAGTTGTATAGTTTAAAACATAATGGCAAAAAAATTAAAGAACTCTACACTTGCCAGAAAAATTCAAGAACTAAGGAATTCAAAAACACGGAATATATTCACAATATGTCTAGCAAGGTTAGTATTTTTTTCTCAAGTTTTATTTTTTTTTAACAATTAGCTGGAGATATAGATGGAGAGAGAGAAAGGAAGAAAGAGTGCCAAAATAAAGACAGAGACATAGAGAAAGACAGTGGGAGAGAGGCAGAGATAGTGAAAGCGAATGGGAGAAAGGAAGTAAGAGAGAAAGAGTTCAATATTCAGCTATTATACTATACACACATATATATATATAATATATATATATATTATATATATATATATATATATATATATATATGAATAGCACTTCTTCTTCTTTTCAGCCTTCATTTATCCATTGTTGGACATAGGCCTCCTCCAATTGCTTCCACGCTTCCCTATCTTTTGCAATTCTCATCCACTGTTTTCCAGCTACAGCTGTAATATCGTCTATCCATCTCTTTTTGGGTGTTCCCACGCTTCTTTTTGTTTTTCGGAGTCTCCAGAATGTCACTTTAGGAGATCATCTGTTGGTGTCTTGTCTTGCTACATGTGCTACCCATTGTATCTCAATGTCGCTATTTTTTCCCATGATGTCGGTTACTTTAGTTCTTCGATGTTATTTCGGTGTTAGGAATTTTGTCTCTGAGGCTTATATTTTACATGGCCCGTTGAGTTACTCGTTAATTATTTTTTTTTAAGTTTTGTTAACAATTAAGAGAATAGCACTAAGGCTTTAAAAACTAAATAATACCCATGCTTTAAAAAAATATGCTTCCTTCTTTTCGCTGTTTCTCTCTGCTTGCTGGATTTTTCTTCTGTACTGAGCTTTTCCATGGATTGATGTGATGTTTCTCCACTCCTTCTTTTCTGTTAATTATTTTTAGATTGTAGCTTCATTATTTTTATATATTTTTCTCTTGCTTCCATATATTTCTCAGTCTCTTGCATCCATCTAGTGTTAGATGAATAGAAGATATAAGGTACTAAACCGCTAAAAAATTAACTTTTTCGGGTGCTATTTTAGGCTGTTACCATGTTTAACCTGTGTGCGTGTATGCATTTTTTATTCTTTCCAAACGGAATATTAAAAACACTTCGTTTATTTCGTAAATATCATTTGTCTAATATATATCTATCTAATACATAAGATATTGTATTAATCAAAAGATCTCTGTTTTAGCCCAAAGAAGACAATAAAAAGAAGGACCAGAAACAAAAATCTGAAAGAGATGGTAAAGAAAATGATAAAGAAAAGAAGAACAAAGGTAGAGATAGAAGTCAGACCAGGAAACCCAATAAAGGTATTTATTTTTAAATTAAAAAAAAGAACGTAGCACTTCCGGAGTACCGACAGAAGTGAATACTTCTATTCAGATAAGATATTTTATAACTTCATTTTGTAATCCTCTACTTCTGTTTACGGGACCAGTGGATACACTATGTTCTTACTACGTCTTGATCCCACTGCACCTTTTACTTAAAATTATATAAAAGGTACAGTAAGGAATCGGCATGTTTATAGGTAAACTAGATTTGAGTAAACATTATCTCTTTGTTGTATTTAAAAACTATGCTTGAATATAGAATTGATCCACGTATAGAACATATTTGTCTTCTAAAATTTGTATAACAAATTATTTCAAACATCTCACTTTACTTTACAGACAATAGAAATAGAAACGAAGGCAGAAATCGTAGTCCTCCACCAAATTACAATGAAGCTACTAATAGATCTAGACCACAAAATGCTAATCAACCGTTTATACCGCCTTTATTATCTCCGAATGCATTCGGTCCCGCTCCACAAGGTGCATTTGGCCCTTTTCCGCAACAATACGGTCCTCCACAAGGCGGATATGGGTATGGGCCGCAAGGAGGAAATGTTGGTCCTTCCCAATGGCAAATGGGGAATCAATCAGGTAAACTTGAGTACAATGTTATATCGTAATTTATATTAACCCACATACTACTAAAACATTTTCGCTCAAATTTTTTAATAAAATCTGCTATGAATGGCTTTCTACTTCAATTATATACAAGTTTTAGAAATAAAAGTTTCATTTAGATTGGCCGTTTTTGAGTTATCAGGTGTATGTTATAACTAACAGTAGTAATCCAAACTTCTCAAGGATCAATGCTTTCATTATACAATAAATGAAACTAAGTATAAAAGTTAAAATTATTCTTTATTATGATAACTAAAAAAACATGATTTAGAATAAGGTGCAACATCGCACTTGTTACATCTGAACGCTGCCTACTTATTTATGACATACACACACCTTGTTTGTGTACAATATCGAACTTAGTATTGAAGTTCGGTTCGTAAATGCCCCTTTGTCCGCTTCTCGTCGATCGATGATGATAGGGTTAATAAATGTTAAAGTTGTGGAGTAACAGTGATGATTTATTGACAGCAACTCGTAATTACACAATATGGTGTTCGTTCGGTAACTACTCAATATTGACTGAGTTCATTTGAACTCAAATCACCCAATTTATAATCTCACACATAATAGATACATAAGCGCCTTAGGTCATTGCTTCGTTCATATCACACCACCTAACTCTTGCTTATAATACAATTTAATCTACGCCTTAATTGCGACACTTAGGAAGTTCAATTAGAAAATTTTATTATTCGGCAATTTATTTAGTTGTAGGTAAATGAACTAATTATTAAAATATCATACGATATGGTTTTGCAATATATATATAATGCAAACTTATACACGTGTGAAACTATAAAAGATTAAGAAGTTAAGAATAATGTGAGATTACAAATTAAGGGTTAATTTGTGATTGAACATTTGTTTTTCTCGATAAATGACGATATGATCTAATCTATCGTACCTTGACTCAAAATATGTAAGTTGACTTTTCTTGACAGTCTTCGTTTAGTACTTTTCTTATACATTTCCAAAAATCCTGACGCTATGCATCTTCTGAAAGCTAAGTGAACCATTTTCTCACCATTTCTGCTCTGCCATATCAAGGCAATGCGATAATACACCAAAGTACCATTTCTTATCTCTAATACAGTGGTGAAGTAGCATTTAATGCAATAGTAACGAAATTATTCTCCTTCCATTTACACATTATAATATTTTCTTCTTCGTCTTCTACAAGTGAGTATTCAAATACACCCCTCTGATATTTTTTGAAAAACTTGAAATTATTTAGAGGCCTCTAGAGAACTCTATTTTCTCGAATTGTTCCAGTGCATGGTAAATTTCTTGCTGTTAGCATTTAATAATGGAAGTGACGTAATAAAATTCTTACAGAATAAGTGTAACGGCATACCTGGGTTATCAGGTTGCAATTTATCGGCAAATGATGATACGACACTGGCTCCTAATCCTGATTCCTTTTATGCATCAGATAGATAAGTGGTGATACCTTGATAAGGTTATATACATCATCTCTGATTTTTGGTTCCGACCAATAGTTAATCGCCTCATCTAATGGGTTTACCTCGGATAAATTGTTTTGATCCATGTTGCCCATAGTAAGGAACCATCGCTTTATCAGCACTGTGATGGTCTTCACATGGATGAAACAAATAAAAATTTTCTTGGCGTAGGTATGTCCAATAGCGGACGGATTTTATCAAATTTATCGCCTTTTTGTAATTGGGTAATATTAGAAACATATATATTTTGCATAATAAAATTGAATCTATCTCGCGATATAGCCGAATAGACCAGCTTATACCCTACCTCATCTTTACTTAAAAGTAATCCCAATGAAAGACCTACATCCATTTTCATGAATTAAAAGTGAAAATAACTGTAAAGGCGTGAGGGAATCTTTTGGTTGACTTACTGGCTTCCATTCGAGAAAATTGGGATTAATATGTTTTGTTTATTTAGGTTGTGAGAACTTACAGCAAAGCGAGACACACGCACAGACAACAGGAGGTTATCTTCACTATCTTCAATCTAGTGAATCTTCAATTGCAATATCTTTTGAATTCAAAATAATAATTTAATTCTCCCCTTCTTTCTCAACGGTGAACCATCAAAAACAACTTCAGGTTGTATTCCTAATTGACTACCTGGTTATTTATGTCAATGTGGTTTTCATCTCCGGAATTTATCAGATGCAGGGAACATAATACGACAGTATATTGCTAAAAGAATTCTTTTTTCTAGTTTCTAATTATTATTAATAAACTTCTTTACAGGCTCTAATACTGGCGCACCTGAATATGATATAAAGATTTCTGTTAAAAATGACGGTCATGCATCTGGGCCCAACGGTGCAAATTATCCTCCAAATAACCCATCGTATAATCAGCAATGGTTTCCTCCTCAATTCCCCAATCAATACGGCGGAAACAACCCGTACCCACCCAATTCGAACCAACAACATCCAATGAATTGGAATTCACAGCATCCGCCAAATTGGGTCCAACCTCCGGCAAACTGGAACCAGCATAATTATCATCATGGAGTTAACAGACAAGGACCAAGAAATCAACAAGGTAAATTTTAGCTTACATATCTATACTAAAAACGCATCTAAATAACCCCATTGTATTATTTCATACAATTTCTCCAAATCGTTTACAAACAGTTCTCAATTAATTACTTTTTATAATGTAAAATAAATGCAGAAGAATATCAAATAATTAATAGAAGCATTTAAAGAAAAATAAAATATTAAAAAATGATGGGATAGTTAAAAATTACGAAGAATCAGAACTGCTACACTTAAATTCTTCACAAGAAACGCATTCTTTCAGAAAAACAATTTTTTTTTTAATAACAAACAACAGCATTGTTGTATTGAACAAAAAATAACTATGGAATTTGGTAAACGACGTACTATTATAGATCTTTCCTCTGACAATCGTATCGCAAATACTTATGATAGAAACGTAGCATTAACTGGACCACCAATCTTAGAGTCAAAAGTAGAATATGCAATCTCTATTTAAAAAACTTTAAAACGGTCACCAGATGGTATAAATGCAGAATCCTTAAGTGACCACCAATCTTAGAGTCAAAAGTAGAATATGCAATCTCTATTTTAAAAATCCATAAGACTGTTGATCCAGATGGAATAAATGCAGAAATCCTTAAACTATTTTTAAAATTAGGCACTTTTGCTGACTGTTTAACGACATATAGAACAACAATTACCAGCAGATTCGCTAAAATCAACCTCCGTGGTTAAAAAAACACAACTCCAGTCACTGCTAAGCATTCATAAAAATAACATGCGACAATTTATTTTGCTATAAATAATGTTTAGCAAAATTTTCTGTAGTGTTGCTAGTTTACGAGATACAGCGCGAAAACCTTTTACACCCCTTATTCCAAGATGGCGAATATTCAAGAGCCTGGTCAACTTAGGAGCCCTCTAAAATCCAGACCAATTTATGAAATTACAGAGTTATAGAAAATTTAATTTGCTACATATAATGTTCTATAAATTTTTCTGTAATGTAGCTAATTTACGAGAGACAGCGCGAAAACTCTTTGTCCCCTTTTTCCAAGATGGCGGTCGGGGGAAAAGGATGGCTTTCCCACAAACTTGAGCCTAAACTTATACAACACACCCACACATCAAAAAAATATTGCGTCCTGTCAAAAATTTACTCTCAATGTAACTTTAGAATGGACTACTATTGCCATAAATATTCTCTTTTTTCTCTCTTTATCTCTTTCTCTCTATTTCACTTTCCCTCTATCTCTCTCTATGTCCATTTCTGTATCTCCGTCCCTCTTTTTCTATCTGTAGGTCCCTTTCCCCTCCAGTTTAAAATCATAGCAATGTTAAATAGTATTATGTCAGTTCTTCGACTTTCAAAACACCACTTCAAAATATATTTCCACTTTTACATTTGTTAGTATTATCAGACGCATTCAAAAATACTGATATTCATAATTATGATTACAGGTAGAGAATATCCTAACAGAGGAAGAGGAGGTATACATAAAAACAAGACAGGTCCACGTGGAAAGAACAACGATCAAAGAAAGTCCGACACTCAGTCTGACAACTTCAAAAAGTCTGACAACTTCAAAAAGTCTGACAACTTCAAAAAGCTCTTCAAAGGGCAAATCAAGCTCCTCAGATTCTGGCAAATCCGATTCAGATTAAAAATATTGTTCTTTTATTACTATTGATGTATTAGTAAGTGTTTTAGTATAAGTACCGTTCGCTCACCTGAATCTAAATAATGAGTTTGTAAATTTATAATCATTTACTAAACTTTGAAATTGTTTCGGTTTGCTGTAACACCTACGTGTATAAGTTTTCTACTTATCTATGTGAAATGAATAAAAGAAGTAAGTACAGTATTAAAAACTTTATTAGTGCATAATATGTCGGTCAGATCCAAAAGCCACTACATTTTCTTCACAATATGTTACAAGGTGAGATAGAATAAGTGAATCGATTGTAATTACGCACCTATTTGTGCAATATTCTAAATATTTCTCAACAACATCGCATCTATAGCAACATAACTGAAAAACATGAAAGCAAAACTATTAGTTACCTCACATCTATCACCTAATATATAATTTATATTTCATGGTACTCTTCCACTAAATATTACCTTACACTCAACTATTTCTAAGTCATCTGTTGTCGTTTTTCCTTTTCTGTAATCCTAATTTAGTTTTGCCAAATATATTCTCAAGTCAGCGTCCTAATACTATTATTTTCTGGTTTTAATTTTTTTTTGTAATGAAGCTGCATTTTTTCGAAGTTTTTCTAGAATATAGCAATATGGCCAGCAGCAAAATACACCAGTGTGAATAAATGTTTTTCCTTTCTGTGTAGTACTCCCAATTACTTAATGCTTCTTCTATTTTGTTTGTAGAAAACTCCTTGGCGAATCTTTCTGACTTTTGTTACATTCCATTCTATATGACTACTTTTATTCTTCTTCCTTCTAGGTCTCTGCCACAAAGTCCCTTCATGTTCTCAGTTTTCTTCAACCTCTTTTCCTCAACCTCTAGCAGCTCTCTTCGTCCCACGTAGTTCTTATTTCTACGTCTGCCGTGACCAAAACATTGTAGTCTTTGCCCTAGAACCGCTTTTGAGACAGTAGTCAGACCCTTTCCCTGATCACGTTGTTACTGATCTCCCTTCTACTCTTACGCAACATCCAAGAATATTCTAATTTTAAGAAGCGGGGCCTAATAGTTATTTCAATTACAATTTCCTGCAAACATGTTTTTCAAAACAATCATTAGCAACACATTTTTTGGGTGAGCGAACCTTTTTTTAATAATTTTTAATTTTTGTTGTATTTGTAATATAAATAACTGCTACATTAATTGTTTTCTGGAAAATAGTGCCAGGTTGATGGTGAAGTACCCCTAAACGTTTTTATCGTTTAATAAGAGATTGTGTTGAAATATCTCTGAGTATTTTATGAGGACTAATAATAAGATTAGTTCTTTATGTATTAGTCTACCTTGCACTAGGTTTTAATTATAAATAAAGTGCAATAGTGTCCTTATGCTGAACGTTATAGAAAAATACATTGTTTTTTTCGTAACGAGGTAGTAAAAAGGCACAAAAGGCATTTCACACAACAAATTCTCAAGTGAAAAAATCTGTTTTAGATAGAATTTTACAGGTATGAACCTCCCAGTCGAGATTGCATTGGATTTTAGAAAGTTATGGTACAAATAAAATTATTATTTTTAGTATTTTACCAGTTTGTTGTTATTAATAGATAAATTTGCTTTAAATAGTATACGTTTCTTAAAATGTTACAATGTAATTAGTACAAAATATGACTGGTTCTTGGTGAGGCCCTGTATAATTCCGCGTTCAGGTTTATGGAGCTTTTGTTTGTGGATAGTTAAGCGAAAATTAAAGTATAAAGTGCAGTAAAGTGTCCTTATATCGAAACTTACAGAGTAAATGTAGTATTGTTTTTATGAGATTGATGATAAAAGGGCATTAGGTTAAGGTAGTAGTCGTGGCCTTTCATATAGGTTTATAAGAAACTGCGAATCTACGTATTCGTTGGTGTTAAATTCGGGAGTAAAGAATATATAAATTCCCTCTCGTACTAATATTAGTAGACTGGCTGTAACTGGGATAAATAATGATACTGTACGACTCTCATTACTTTCAGAGCACTGTTTAAAAGTATTTTTATTTACCTATAAACTTATGAGCAACGTTTCGTGGTGTGAAATTAGTTGGGGAAAAGTTATAGATCATCGTGAAACCAATTAGATGTTATTGGATATCAACGTTGATTTTAAAGTTCCTACCTACTTGTACCTAGTTACAAAGATTAAACCTCTTTTTCAATTTCAATGATATATCCAAAAATAACTGTTCTGCTAGATAAACCCCACGTTAGGTGCCATAAGATCAACAAGGAGGTGACGTACTTATCGCATGTTGTTTATCCCTACAGTGACAAATTGTCGAGTTTCTATTAAACGGTAAACTAATAACTGGAAAAATGGTATAGTGCAGATAATTGTAAAATGTTTCGTTGCATTTTTCGTTGCTCTGCAAATGCAGAGTATGTTTCGTTGAATATTTCCTGTGCGTTATGATTGTCAATAAAACTTTAGTTCCTCTTCATTATGTGGCATTTGTGGATATATTTTTATTTTATAATTCCTTGATAACTCCAATACTATTCAGCACATCTAAAATTTTAAAGAAATAATTGTTTATTTTCATGTCACAGTATGTAGGCGTCTACCCCTGTCTATTGTGTTGTTGTTGTTTATACCACATTTGTTTCTTACCTCAATATATCTTTTAATATATTTGCTTTTTCCTTTTCTGTTTTCTTTGATTTTTCTTATTGTCTTCTGTTTCTAAAATCTCCAGTTGGTTCTTATATCTTTATTTTTAATATTCATGTTCGTCAGGTATATGAGATAAATGCCGTATCAGTATACATATATTTTATTTATTGTAACCAGTTACACTTAATATTTTACATAGATAGTCGTCCGGAATAAGCTAACGTGTTAAAAAAGTGTACATTTATTTGCAAAAATAGATGTCCATTATTTTCAAACATATTTATTCCCCATTATTACGTACTTCACTGGAACATCATACCTGGCAAATTAACTTATTTAGCTCTTTTCCATGCCCATAAAGAAACAAGTGTAATTCACGAGAAAATTTGCTAAGCCGTTACCCAACGTTGTATTTTGTGTTGCCTACCTCGAAGGTACATTATAAACGTATGGCTAACTCTATCCAAATATATTTGTGATGTACAAATCATTTGGAAACAGCAATTTGGAACTATTTAAAACAGGTGGCGAAAGGGTTAAGGTAAATGAGTAGTTATTTTAATTTTTATTATAGTGTATAATGTTACATTTAGCTATATACTGTTTATTCATAATACCATAAATATTCTAATATTGTAAGAAGCATAAAAATATAAATCATGCAAAAAAATTATTTTGTGAGTAATATTTCCGATCCTGAAATGCCCTATAACGTGAACACTGAAAAACGTCAGATTTTAAGGAGAGAGAAAGAATTATATCCTGACTCACGAAAGATTTTATTTCAGAGCATGTAAGGCTTATCAGATTAAATGATTTGTACTCTATTCTGCTTCTTTTTTAAAATTTTGAAATAACTTGTACGTGTGTAATAGAGTAGTGTTGAGAACATTGTAAAACTGTACACATTTTCAATTTTGGCAGTTTAAACAGTACATCATTATAAAACGTACCTAGGATTGTGTTTGCACAGTTTTTAGAATCACTGGGATTGAGGAAAATGCATAAATGTATTTTTTATAATAATTGTAGATTATAAAATGTTATTTCTAACTATTAAGTTTTAGAATAATATGGTTTGGGTTTAATGTTCATATGAGTTGGAAATAAAGTTATAAAATTGTCTTTAGTTTTTTTAATACATCTTATCAAGCCCAGTTGAGAAAGAAGGAGGGTGAATGATCAGTTGATGGGTTTTAGCGCCAGTAGCTGTGCTAAGTGGCTTCTGCGATTAAATACCAAGTAAGTGACATACGTCAATTGCACTAACAAATCCTACCCGCCATGAGATGGTAGAAGGTTACTTCCATCGCCTCAAATCTGGAACCCCTTAGATAAGTTGTGCTAACCGTGACCGATGTCTCCCTATGTTAAGGGTTAGGCGTAGGGCTATAGCCTTTAAAAATTTACGAGGGCGTTTAAGGAATTTTAACCGGACAGAACCTACAACTTGGCCAAGACTTAGCGAGAGTAATAAGCAAAAAAACGACTGGATCGTTCCAAATAATTCTACAACAATATAGGGTCCAAATACTAGCCCTGCAAGTGTTTAGGTGGATGAGTGTGAACAAACTGGAACATATGAGAATATACGTACATATAAACTCTACTACAGCTGTAAGCCAAGCTAATCTTCAGAACCTTATTACCATGAAATTTTGATTTTGACGCTGAATTTAAACGTTCACATTGCAAACGATCTAAGACAGGGGTTTCCAAACTTTTTTGTACCACGCCCCCTTTTGTTGAAATGAAAGTTTCTCGCGTTCCCCACACCTTAACAATAAATTGTATGGGCCTAGGAGGAAAACAAAAACAAATCAGTATTACATAGAAACAACACTTGTGGAAATTTTTTGTTGAACATCCTATTTATTTACAATCTGTAATAAGGATTACAATAAGTAAATTGTTTAATTAGATTACAAGATGCAGACTGTTCAGTGACAATAACCTATTAGATCATAATTTTAGTAACAAAATTATTTGTGACTCTAATATGTTTATAATAAATAAAAAAAAATTAATTTAAAATCTTGTTGACAGATCGCTTGGAGTAAGATGCTTTAGCCTTATGTTTGCCTGGGGCCTCATAAGGTTCTTCGCTAGCCTGTTAGGGTGGTTTTGTAGTCGTCTGTCATATTTTTGAGAGTAACTGGCAATTTCTTCTTTGACAGTTTTCATCTGAAGCGATGATGATTCATTGCGCATGTACCACGGTGTATTTGTGATAATGCGGAAGGTCTTCGATTGGAATCTCTCCAGTATGTCGATATTGGATCTTGACGCAGATCCCCACAGGTGGACCCCTAGCTCCATATTGACTTTATTACTGACTTGTATACTAAGATTTTATTGTACAAATCCAGTTGTGATCTTTTTCCTATTAGCCAGTACATTTTACTGAGTTTCACACCCAACTGTTTTCTTTTCGTGAATATGTGTTTCTTCACGTTATTGCGTTCGGTGCTACAGTTTTTATCCTTTGTGTAGTATTGTTATTAATGAGACGGTTGGGCATGTACCTTTTCGATTAGTGAAGTTCGTGGTTATGTACTGACTTGCTTTCGTTAACTTTAATTCGCCATGTTTGTAACCAAATCTTTATTTTGTCGAGATTGATCTGGAGCAGTTGTGAGGCGATATACGGGTTTGAGTAAGCCGCAAGGATTGCTGTGTCGTCTGCGTATGTGGCTGTGGCGATGTTTTGACTTGTAAGAAGATCTGCTGTGTAAAGTAGGTAGAAAACAGGTCCAATGACACTACCCTGGGGTACTCCAGCTTTAATTGGATATAAGTTAGTGCGCTGATTCTTTACTTTTACAAAGAAATGCCGGTCGGAAAGATAGGACTTAAAGATTAGAAAGTAATTGATAGGAAGGACTTATCTTATTTGTACAGCAGGCGTGTGCTAGACTTATCAAGCTATCATTTTGAGGCCAGTGTGCTAGACTTTATCAAAAGGCTGCAGAACAGTATTTCTTCTCTTCTAAATCTTTGTTTATGTATTTGCAGATTCGGTGAATTTGCTCAATGGTAGCGTTGTCTAAATCCAAACTGGTGGTTTGGCTGTTATACGAGGATTGGCTGTAATCGGTCTAGTAGTAGTTTTTCAAAAACATTTGACATCACTGAAAGTAGACTGATCGGTCTATAGGACTTAACTTCTTCTACAGGTTTGCCTGGTTTAGGTATTAAAATGATCTGTGCAACTTTCCACAAAAGGGGATAGTAACCAGCTCTTAGGATTGCGTTAAAAATCTTCGTTAAATATTGCACTCCTTTCTTGAAAAGTTCTTTTAGAATTCTTGCAGTGATCAAGTCGAAGTTTCTAGTTTGGTATGGAGATTCTAAATACGATTGTATATTATCTTCTGCATCGGGGTTGTTTTTTGAGTATGTGGTTGGAACACTTTCTCCAGTTATTTCGCAAAGACTGTGGCTTTTTCTTTGTTACTTTTGGCCCATTGTCCGTTACTGACCTGGATAGGCGGATTAGGAAGTTGTCGATTAATTTTTCGTGTTGCCTTCCATAATGAGTATTCCGAGGCTTCTGTGGCAGATAGATTTTGTAAAGTCATGTTGTCCAGTCTCGAATATTTCGCTCCCCATGACTTCCTCTTTCTACCTATCACCTTTTTGGCGACTCTACCCTGCATGATGACCTGCAGAAGACTATATTTATCATTCCTCAGTATGTGTCAAAGTATGTAGTTTTGCGTACTTTTATTGTTCTGAACAATTTTTTGCCTCAACCCATCCTTCTCAGCACTTCCTCATTGGTGACCCTGGCAGTCCATGGAATTCTCAACATTCTCCGTTATATCCAAAGTTCAAAGGCTTCAAGCTTCTTAACTATTTGCGCTTTTAACGTCAATCTTATTTTATGGGCTGGGGGCGCGAGAAACTTTCATTTCAACAAAAGGGGGCGTGGTACAAAAAAGTTTGGGAACCCCTGATATAGAATAAGAGAAATCCTTTGAAATAATGTCAAAGCTTTTGATGAAGTATGGTGTGAAGGTACTACAAATTAAGAACATTCTTACTTAAACAGTACTCAGAAATCTTAAAATCATAGTTTATGAGATAATGCATATATAGATTCTGAATGTGGTCATTTTTATCACTGTTACTTGATCTCTTTTTGTCCACGACCTAATATTTCACTATCCTAAACGTAATTAGAGTTTTAATTAACTTTTTATTTCTCTAAATAAAATTTTTTACTTGGAGTACCCTGTATATCAACTTTTTTCCTAATACGGTGTACAACTACAAAATAATCGAATTATTTCAAAAAACAAATCTCTAAATTTTAAATAAATATTTACAAGATGGATACACTCTGCGAATATTTGTTATCTTTTAAAATTAATATCCTTTCCATATAAAAAAACATCAACAGTTATTCTAGGATAGCAGTATTACTTCTATTATAGAAGCGATATTTTAATTTTATTCGATAAAAAATGTAGATAATTGTTTCCGAACAAATAAACATAAATTGAGTAGTAGTTGCTTTTCGTTCTCATCAAGCGAGCATCGTTTTGAGATGGCAATAAAACAAAAGAATTTTAAAAAGAAAGAACAAAAATAATGTTGTGTTTGGTTATAGCAGACCCCATGCTGAGAGCTTGTACTGAGATGAGGACTCATCTCACAACCTGGGCAAACAAACTATGTACCAGGGACGGTTTTAAAGTCGGGTGTTGTAAAAGCAACACCACAAAATTAAATACACGTCCTAGTGAACCTCGATTGAAATATCATAGAAATGACCTTAAATGTTTTAACCAATGTTAATTAAAAGATTGTGATTTATATCAACATAAAATAAATGAAATTTTACGAAATAATAATGTTAGCCCTATACTTGCTGCTTGCATCTGCGAGGCACGCTCATTGTCAAGTTTTTTATAAAATGTTGAGACATTGCCCTCCTCATTTAAAGCATTGGTCAATTGTGCTAATGTGTCTGTTATTTCTTGTCATTGTGGAATCCGTCTTTCTAATGCAATAAACATGTTTGGCAAATCTGGTAGTTCTGGTATATAAGAATAAAACAAAATTTATAATGGAACGATTGCTCCGCTGGAAACTAGATTCAGACAGATTTAGAAAAACAATTATCTACATTCTTAATCAATCTTTCTAAAGATGAGAAGACAACTCTATTCTTTCAGACTATCTCTCTAGCTGCTTCCAAATCCATGGCCATAAAAAAAACCTTTTACTCCTTCAACGCCAAGACCTTTGTGGTGGAATGAGGAATGTACAGCTGGTTCCGAAAAAACTGATACGAATCTTAGTAAGATTTGATCATTTTGAGCAGTGTAGGTATTTGATTGGTCGGACATTATATTATATTTATTATGACAGACAACTGATAAAATAAACAAACAAACAACAAACAACTGAAATCGTAGGCTTCCACGGCCAAGTCAGAATTATAGTTTATTCGTCCTTCCGGGTTTGGACTGTGTCATTTGTGAGTGACCCAAAAGTGGGTTCATCTCGACGTTTTCGCTACAATTGTATGTAGCTTCTTCAGGAGAATAAAGAAAAAGAAAACAGAAGACAGGAAGATGGATGGGAGTGAGGATTCACTCCCCGCCTCTCGACGCGTTAGTGTTCTGAGCTGTTGGACGTGAATCCCTGTCCTGGCATTTGGTTTTCACCTCTGGCTGCGTTGAGTAGTTGAGTTACTGTGACCAAATGCCCATCTTGGTAGTTAGTATTCGCCTCTGGTTGCGTTGAGTAACTGATGTTACCGTTGCTAACTACCCATCTTCCTGTCTTCTGTTTTCTTTTTCTTTATTCTCCTGAAGAAGCTACATACAATTGTAGCGAAACGTCGAGATGAACCCACTTTTGGTTCACTCACAAATGACACGGTCCAAACCCGAAGACGAATAAACTATAACAAACAACTGATTACATATAATTAATATATATATATATATATATATATATATATATATATATTATTGTGATATTCAAAAGCCAAGCAATTAGCAATTCTTAGTGCGCCAAGCAATTAATTAGCTAATTAATTAATTAATTAAAATTATTTAAATGATATGATTATGATTATATCACACTTTTTAATTCTCTTAATTTAGGGTT